AGAAGCAGGTTATTTGAGCATTCAAGTAGAAGGGGCATGGAATATCACCTGACTGCTTCTGCAGGAATGTTCATCTGGGGCTAGCATATCTTTCACTTTTCCTCATCCCCTGAAAGAAATATAAAAATGGTAAGTGAAGAAAAGAAAATGCCTTTCTAAAACACAATTGTTTTCCTGAGACAGTACAGTTGCCTCCACATCTACTGCTGTGGTTCAGTCTGGCCTCCAACATTAAACTCCAGGTGTCCCTAAAGCAGGCTTCTTTCACAAACACAGGTGATTGGACGCCCATGTTTGATCACTCATGCCTATGACAAAATTCTTAATGCTGATATTATTTTAGTTCATTATATTGTAATTTACATATAAAAATTTCCTTGAGGCTGTGCTTTTTAATATTATAATCATCTTAGGTAAATCTAGGTTATATTTTCATACTACCTACTATCACCAATTTACTATTTAAACTTAGACTCTATTACAGTTTCTGCTTGAATATCTTTGAACAATTAGTTCTCAAATAAATAAATATAGCATTCTGTTCCCGGGGACTCTCCACTACTCCTTTATATCATATCATTCTATTATGGTTACAAGACCAAGCCGTAGTTGCTCTGAACTTTTTAGTGGATTTTTAATTTCATCTGACATCATTCTCACCCCTTTCCAAAAGAGACCCTTTTTTTTTTTTTTTTTTTTGTCCCTTAAATACATATTTCTGTGTTTCAGTTATCAAAAAGTCTTTTTTCAGTTAATATTCAAGTGTCTTCAGGCCAGACACTCTGACCTGGGCAAAAAAAGTAGACAGCACACCTAAACCTTGAAATATCACTCACTGAAAGGTTCCCACTGAAGTTTACTTAATCTTTAGCAGGATGTAAATGTTCAAGCCAGAAATTTGCAAATGTGAGTGTCCAACCTGAAAAGCCAAGACATAAATAACAAACACAACACTGTTTACAGGACGGATTAAAAAAAAAACAAGACATTGCTATCAGACTACTTATCCAGAACTGGTTCAAAATAGACCTTCAGCTTTCTGCAGGTTTTACTAGATTTTTTTTTCAATAAATGTGAACTGAAATGTTTTAAATATCTTCCCCTTCCTTTTATTTTTACTTCTTACTTACAGCTGCTTCTTTCACACTTCTTCTTTTCATAAACATATGACAAAAACCCATCTGATTTGATAATATTCTTCTTTCTGTTAGCTTCCTTAGAGGCTACATTCATCTTCTACCATTTTTATATTCACAAGCTAAAAGATGATTGTAGGAGGTGTTTTGACTGTGGAGAACATGCTCTCCCATCTGTGGCAGTATATAAAAGCATCTTCTTACAGAAGGGTTTTTTGGGGTTCTTTCTGGATAGATACCAAGATGTGTAAGTCTATTGATGAAGCATGCTTAAGTGAGGAGAGATTGTAGCATAATTGCATATTTTCCACATCCTGCATAAGAGATATGCTTCAATAGTAGTCCACCTGCTCTCGGGTAGGTTTAGTTTCCTACGACAATTTCATCTGCTGCATCTTTATGAAGGGTTTGCATATGGAATACAACATTAAAATCCAAAATGAAATTTCAGTTTCATCTATCTCTGTTACCCATTAGAAAAGCAAGATGTTAGTATTTGCTCATCTTTACAGAGGTTACATATGAGACAAACTAGAAGACCAGAGGAAGAAAAATTCTCAGACTATTTAACACATATCTGAATTAAATGTTAATTCCATTTACCATTTAAACAATTATGAATGATGTAGACAAAGTAATAGATAAAAAGGAGGAGGAATAGAAAAATACTATTCCATGTACCTTTTTGTAAGGTTCTTTCAAATAGTTTCATTTTCTACATACTTTTCTCATTCTCAGAAAAGAAGGAAAATGGCATTACCCAGATGTTGTTCTCTTTTCAATAAAGTGAGGCTAAATTGCTAACTGTACCATAGGTAGAAAATAATATTATATGTGCATTCCTTAAGGATGGTAAAAGCTAATGTAAAATCATTAATTCAAACTTGAGCATATACTTTTACGTATTAGCCAACATCTGCATATTCACAAAGGCAGATGCACGATGAATGTCCTAATGGTTTAATTTTCACAGTATATAACTGAAGAAGGAACCTCAGGTTATTAGCTGAAAATCTGTTTCTGAGGTGAGGCTCTGAGTCATGTATGTCAGTCATGCATGAGCAGAAGAAGAAAATTTCAGTATAGAGAAACAAAGATACCTTAGCTAAATCTTGGAGAGAAAGTTAGATTACAAATCTGACATTATCTTCAACACTTTGTGCCCCTGCACTGGATTCCAAAAAGGGCTGTCATGGTCTAACCCCAGCAAGCAACCAATCCCCACACATCTGCTCTCTCACTCCCCCACCAGTGAGGTCAGGGAGAGAATCAGAAGGGTAAAAGCTAAAAAATCCACAGGTTGGGATAAAGACAATTAAATAGAGAAATGAAAACACAAGCTGTGTGCACAAGCAGAGAAAAGCAAGAAATTCATTCACCACTTCCTTTGGGAAGGCAGGGGTCCAGCCAACCCCAGGAAAGCAGGGCCCCATCACATGTAGATGTCACTAGAGGGGACAAATTCCATTACTCCAAACAACCCCCTCTCTCCTTCTCTCCACTTTATATACTGAACATAATGTCATATGGTCTGGAATATCCCTTTGCTCAGTTGGGGTCACCTGTCCCAGCTGTGTCTCCTCCCAATTTTCCATGTTCTCCTGGTTTCCTCAGTAGTGTGGCAGTACACTAAAAGTGGAAAATACCTTGGCTCTGTGTAAGTCATGCTCAGTGACAGGAAAAACATCTCTATGTCTTCATCATTTTGTTCAGCACAACTCCAAAATGCAGCTCCATGCGGGGCACTGTGAAGGAAGTTATCTGTACCCCAGTCAAAACTAACACATCTGGGTCATAGATGTGAGCATTGATTGTAGTACATCTTGCAGCAGTCAGCATCAGTTTAGGCAACGGTTTCAAGTTCTTCTTGAATCTGTATTTTTTGGAATCGAGGTCTGTGTCGTGACTGGTAAGAGTATTGTGAGGACGTAGGGTAAGTGCAGTTCTGTTATGTGTGGGTTTATTTGTAGAGAAATCTACCTTCTTTTGAGAACTGCTACTTACTCTGGAATTGCTGTTATTCTTGCAAACCAGACTACCTTGACTTCATCACCAAGAGAGAAATGCTTTTCTTCACTTGAAATTATTACCAGCCAATGTTAGCAATGTTATCTATGATTACAAGCCCTTGGAGGGACAGAAACCTGCAAAACCTTGCTCATGTTGTAGGTAATTTTATTCTATTGCAAATTGGAACTACTTTGTTTGTGCATCAACTACTTTGTTCGTACATCTGTGGAAATGCCTCAAAAATATTTATCTTAAGTTAAAAAGTGTTAGAATTGATAAAGCAACAGATATTTTGCAGCAATAATAGTGACGTATCAATGCATAACAAGGTAGAATGTTGGACTCCCCTAATAGTCTTATTTGTCTATAAGTATCAATAAAATAACTTGCTAAAATTTATGCTACAAATTGTATGCTTCAACAATGTATGAGCACCATCATTTTTACAAGCAGTTAGAAAGGTATTCTACTTTAGCAAATGATTAATACTAACGATTTGGATGTCTTTTCAGTTCTAGAGGCACATAGCAAGTATCAGGAGCAGATTAAAGTGGAGTTAGCCACTCTTGGAATGACAACAAGACACTATTTCACAGTTGTCTGGAAAATGAACACAAAAATATTGGCAAAAGAATGCCTACCGGCCTAGAATAATTACTTCTGAAGAGATGGGGCTCTTTCAAGGTCTGACCTAACAGATTTTCAGGAACTAGAGTTAATTTACTAGTAAAATTCAGTGCTTTAAAAGCTAGACCAAACTCAGATTACCCTATTCCCCTTGCAACTGCGCTTTGTGGTTTGTTCTCTGCTGATCTGCTTCCTCAAACCTACCTGTTTGCTGAAGGGATGAGGTAGGAGCAAGGGGCAGGAGTGACGGCAAGACTGCAGCTGTGCTAGTGGAAATTACCTGAAGAGAAGGAGCAAAAGCCACAGTGTCACAAATAGTGGAGAAAATTAAAACTTGAAGGAAATTCCCATCTTGGCAGGGGATTAAATGCTCCGTGGAAGTGACCATATATGTGTTTTGAAATTTTTGTATAATTTGCATAATTGTGTGTGAGAAAAAAAATACACATCTTGATCCATGAAATAAATAATAGTTAGGACAATCAAGGCAAATGGATTCTTGGGGGAAGCTGAAGTTAACTGTAATAAGTAAAAAAATATATTTTTTTATTTTTTTATTATTTTTTCTCAAAACTCTAGTTTGACCAGTGCTACAACAAAGTATAATTTGATTTTATTTTATGGCATTTTGAAGCAATATTAAGACACTAAAGAGGATCCAAATATTTTGGTTTTGCACATCTTCATGTAGACTTTACTTCTATTATGCATGCCTTGTCCATTTGAAGATACTGGAAGTTCAACTTCAGTTACAAATATTTAAATACTTGCTTCTCTCTGGTTCACTTTAAAAAATAAAAAATGAAAAAAAAAAATCATGCTAGTTATGTCTAGATTCTTATGTATTTTTATTCCTGCAGCTCATGCTCCAAGATTCAATCAGTTTGGAGAATACTTAGTGTGTCATGGATTTATAAAGAAGTATTTTCAAGGAAAATTTAGTATTGTGAAATAGCATAATGTTTTGTTATGGAGTATAAATGGCAAACAAGAATTGTAAGGATTAATTCTGTTTTTTCCATACTGGTTGCTTTAATAGGTTTTCTTTGGAGGCTAAAAGGTATAAATTCAGGGAAAAGCATATGAGAGCTTTTAATAAAGCATAAGTTATGAAGATTCCTATATAGAATAAACTGCCATTGTCGATTAGAGCAAATCAAAATTTGCCCATTTTCATAGCCTTTAATATGGTCTATATAATTGGTTGGGGTTTATTGTTTTTATAAATTGTGTTAGAATTATATTTGTATTACAACTGAGAGTAGCACCTTATTTTTCTATTTTGCGCTCGAGAAATATGTAGCTCATCATTGTCCCAAAAGACTGCAGGCTGAACAGACCAGCAAGAAGCTAGGAAGAAATTGGAGACACAGCTCTGAAGGTCACACAAGTATCTCGCTAATGACAGAATCTTTTTGTTCCAATGGGAATCAAGAAAACTCCATCTCAAAAACATAAATTGCTGGAATCTAGGAAAAGTTGGAAAAACAAATAAATGTTAATGGTCATCTTATGTATCCATGTGTACCTGATAAGCCTGCAAAGTAGCATGAACTATTCTGATTCATAGTGTTAAAAACCCCATAATTTTTTTAAAACATAATTGATTGCAGCATTTTGTTGCTGAAGTGGTGAGATTTTTAACAATTTATGTTATTATACAAAATTGCTGGTTGGTGTTATCTGATTCTCTTGATTAGGAATTTTATTCATTATTTCTCTTTAGTAAAGATAGAAAAGAATGGGGAAGAACTCTAGTAAAAATGCAGGATAAGTTAATGCATACTAAGTTTGCACTCTGTAGGTAAAGGGAGAATAGGTCTTCTAGTTTTTCAAAACATAAAGACATTGAAGTCTTCATTATAACAATAAATACGAATATACATGATTTTTTTTTTATCATGACGGTGGTGAAACACTGGAAGAGGTTGCCCAAAGAATGTCCCATCCCTGGAAACATTCAAGATTAAGATGGGTGAGGTTCTGAGAAACCTGATCTCATTATATGGGGATTAGATGACTTTTAAAGATTCCTTCCAATACAAAGTATTCTATGGTTCTATGATATCATCCACAATCCCTCTTTTTTCCCCTAATTATGACTGTTTACAGAAAAATGCTTAACTGCTGTATGTGTCAAAATGGCATTTGAAATGACAATGATAATCTGACAAATAAATGTCACCTAAGCAGTAACTAAATTAATGCTTTCAGTACTGTGAAATAAAAACTTAACAGCAAACCCTAGCTCCAAAATATATCACAATGTTTCAGCCTTGGAAAACTCTGTGCACCATTATATACTGAGAGTATGCTTTATATATAATTTTCCAGAGGAAATTAATTTATATTTTGGTGAAGTCTATACACCATGGCTGTTACTCTGCCTGCTATTTTCCAGCAGTAACATTCTCTCTTGGATCAAATCTATCTTTAAATCTTCTTTCTTAGTGTCTTCACATCATTTCAGCTCCTACGACAGATGTTATGTTTAGTGTAAGGTGTGTTTGCATGTAGGAATTATTTGACACCAAAGAAAGTAATGGTTAGTGCTGGTCTATAGCATGTCCTCCCATCTCTAGCACATGCCATTACTTGTTAAAGTACAGAGATACAACTCAGGTCATATTTCATTAAGGTAATCTACACACAGGCGACATAAATTCACACCAAAGTTTAGCAACTGTGTGAAAAATAGTCATTTAGCAGATAACATTTGTGTTATTCTGTCATGATGAGGTCTTCCATACTTTTCCTTGATAATAACCAGAGAAAAAGAACATCTTTCATCTTCACCACCTAAAGCTGAAAGCTCAATTTGCAAAGTAATGATTTTGCTTAGGTTTTCATATCTCTTGTAACATGTACCATGCAATTAGAAACTGCTTTTTTGAAAAGCACTTTGTGTTTCCAAAGACAGTAGTCATATGTTTCTTGTAGAAGAAATTCCATTCTAAAGTAATATTGATTTACCTGAATTCTTGTGTTAGAAAAACCATCGCAATTTTGACGATTGTTTTTCCTTGCAATATTTCCAGTATTAACTAATTTACACTAGAGTGGAAAGAATCATCTCTCTGACCATTTGTTGCAAATGATTGTCTTACGTTGTTCAAAGGATCAGCAAATGTATCAGCAAAATCAGGTATATTATTAAAGTGAAAGAGTGACAAGATCTGTTGTAAAAATTCACTCCTCTACTTACTAGATCGATAAAGCACACAGAGAAAAATCAGTCAATCTAAAGCTAAAATCAGCCAAAAATTATCTGTGTGGAGTCTGGGGATGTAAAAAGAGTGAGGATGGAAAAAGGCAAAATAAAAAGGAATAAAAAGAGACTTTCCCATTGAGTCAAAAGGTTCAGAGTAGACCCCCTTGCCGAGTTTCGCCCTGGACTTGACCAATGGTTTAGGCCTAAAGGTTTTAACAGCACTTCAACTTAACAAGTACTAAATTTTTATCCTATTTTAAGTAATTTAACAAAAAATTTTATAGAATTTATTATAAGCACAAGGGTAACTCCTTTATAGGCCTATCTTAGGAATCTAAGTTACTTAAGAATCAAAGAGAGCAATGCTCATTATACATTTTTTGTATTGCATATTCACAGCCATACACATACAGGCCTAAAGGAGCATGCATGAGATGTATACCTGTGGTCCTGGAGAGCTCAGAGCATCTCACTTAGAACTGCTGTTCAAACGGTTGCAAGAGCACTGGATTCAGACATAGTAATATTCCATCCTGGCAGCAATTTGGGTTCCAAACTTTCTTTGAAAGTTCAATAACAAAAATGTTGTTTCACTTGGGCTGTTACTCAGGCAAGAAATTTAAGTTACCAAAGCTGTTTGTCAAAAAACAGGAGCTCATTATACAGAACTAGATGCTGGGAGCTGACAGTGTTTCTGAGAGGCTCAAGAGGAGCTTAGTTCTAGTGCTATTTGTCAAGGCCAAGGCCTAATGAGCATTTGTGAAATCATAGTGCAGAACAAGGAAGGGATGTGGGGGGCATGCACCATCACAACCATCAGTTGTCCTTTCTGTCGTAACAGAAACAGGGAACCTAGCAGAACATGGACATAATGTCAGCAATTTTAAAAAAAATTAAGGAAAATGACCTCAAGGTTCAACTTCATATGGAATATGTTCTTATCAAATTGCATCATCCATTCATAGTTAAAATAAACTATACTGTATTGGAGGAAAAAAATATAATACTCAAGAAAGATTATATAAAAGGTCTTGTGAAGATCTCAAATGAATCAGCATTAGCTCTTATAGAAGCAAATCAGCATATCGTTACAGTCCCTGCCAAATTTCAACTGCTGCTATCAAAACAAATCTATATTAATTTATTCAGGTGCTTAAAGTAAATTTTAATAATTCACTGCAACTGTTTCCTCCTAAATCAAACCATTGAAATCAAAATGCTTCAAATTCCTGCTGTTTTGTACAACCCTAAATCGAGATATATTTGAACAAAATTATTTAAAAGGTAATAGTTCCAAACTTAAATCTTTTATTTAAATAACATTTTCATCAACTAAAATATTTTCCACTAGTAATGGAAAATGCAGATTTTTCTATCTGCATTTCTTTCCTGTTAACATTGCTAGATTATGCTGTTCAACCAGGAAGAACTTAAGTGTGGGGTTTCCTTTCTTGGAATAATTTGTATAAATATTCTTTTAAATGTTTCAATTTTTACTCTTAAATACTGAGTTTGCTTTTCTAACAGTATTAAGTAATTAAAAGGACAACATATTTCTGTACTTAATTAATACTTTTATATGTAATTAGGCAGTGTATGAAACACTAGGTGTTTTTGAAACTGAAACACTGAAACTCTAGGTGATTTTAAAAAATAGTTATACTTTCCTGTTTATATGCATTTCTTGCTCTTACTTTTGCAATGTTTTTTCTCCATTCTGAGCATCCTCTCTAGTACTTTAGGGCATGCACATAAACCATAGATATTTGCTTCCTTCAGCCCTAGCAATTGAAGGAGAGGATGATATGAAAATGGAGTGGCACTGTCTACAGAATCAGTGACCTGAACAAGGCTTTAGGGTGCATTCATAGCAGGAAAGCAGTTAATATTTCAAGCTGAGGGTGTCAGCAAAGAAAAGCCTTGTTTTTAAAGGTTTTTTTATTCTTGGTTAGTAGAAGTACTTACAGATTTTACAAATTGGCTGAGAACATTAGTTTTATGGTGATGCAGCACTGTCTAAAAAGAAAAAAGGTTTTGTTTGGAGCATCTGAATCAGTTTTCTTGTATTAATGTTTCTTAAATAGATAGTGATTGTTGAATTTCGTCTGCTATCATATTGCCCATTCTTGAAAAGTTCTTCTAGAGCTCTTCACCTTCAACCTTTATGACTTTGAATATTGTAATATCAGGTTTATCCTCTCTCTATTCACCAGATTTTTATCATAATTTAAAAATTATTCTTGCCTGCAGAACTCAGTGAGATTTCAGTCCTTGCTTTGTGAAAACTGACTTTTAATTCCCATATGTTGTGAGCCCAACTTCTAGTAGTTATGTGTTCAAGGGAGCAGTGTCTGTCCTAAAACTTCTGGAAGCAATTTAAGCCTGCGTCTTCTGCATGTTCTTAGTGAATACTGAGAACAATTTTGAATACTGAGAACAATTAATTATTTTCCCTGACTGCATCATGACTTTGAGTTTGTTTCTTTGAAAGAGTGACTGGTCTTATAAAGGATTTTCCCTTTGATTAAGAGATTTCCTCTGCTTATTCCCTTTTCTCTATGCATTTGACTATTTTCTGATTGTTCTTATTGTGGAGAAAGCAACAGATTTGCTGCATCTACATTTTCCATTCTCTTTTATGCCCACGGCAGGGAATAACTCACACAGCAAAGTAACAGGTAATTATATTGCCTTATCAGACTGGAAGTTAACCAGCATACAGTCAAGTCCTTAAAGAAATGGAGCAGTTAAATAAAATGAGTTCTGCATTTAATGTCTTAGTCAGTCTCGGATTATGAGTGTATCTCAGATTTTCCACAGCATCAGAGGAATATTGATCCATTTAACAATGCAATAGTCTATAAAGCAGCTGTCACAGCAGTAAAGACAACCATTTTAAAATCTAAGTTTGCGTATGTTGATTTGAGTCATTAGTCATTAGTCTTTCAGCCCATTTTATATGGTTTAGTAAGTATGGGCCTCAAGGTATCTTTAATTGGTGAGACTGCAACTGTCCCTTATACTGTGCTATCTCTCAAGTGCTTATGTGAATGTTTCATGCAATTGCTTACCTTGCTTTGTTCTCTTTTGGCACTCTTCCTGTCTTAGGAGCCAAGGGAAGGAATTAGATCTTTCAGGACCTCACATATTTGGGTGGTACTTCCTATACCCTGAATTTATCTTTCTTTCCCGGGTAATGATGTTAATCAGTAATAAATAGTCAGTGCAAAGCTGCTAAACTAAGTCAATCTTACTTTGTTTTCCTTCTCAGTTGAGAAAATATCAGTAACCAAATACCGTGCATGGAAAACAGTTGATCACTAATGCTGTCTTCCTGAAAAAGTACACTATAAGCTTGAGAGAGAACAGGAAATTAGCATGCATGTGTGAAAAGGTGTTATACATTTTCATGGATGCAGAAAAGATGTGTTGAATAGCTGAAGAAATGACAGAAAACATATCCCGGGGTTATTTCCTCCCTGGCATCCTCCCCTTTTGCATCCAATTTGAGTACTATTTTCCTAAATTCTAATTCTTTGTTTCATTCATGTAATTTTTAGTAAGTAATAATTTGCTAAAAAAAAAAAAAAATTACACAGAATATAACATCTCTGCACATCATTGGATAACTAGGGAGTTCTGATGTTTTCTGGGACATCCTTAGGGAGCTAAAATATGCTATAGGATTTCATGAAGAGAGCATTATTAGTAGTACATTCATAATTTGGTCCCTATTTGTTTTTAATCAGAACTATATAGTTATTGTAGCATATTATAGTAAATGAAAATCTTCGAGTTACTTCACATTATACTGCAGTGGCAAAATATTATCAATTTCATTAAATAGATTTTATTTTATTCATTAAACAACTAAGTAGTTTGCTTGTTTTTTTTGGTGTATTGCTTATTTATCAAATTTTCATTGCAACTTCAGGGAGTAGTCATGAATGCATTTTCATTAATGCACATTTTATGTAGAACAGAACCATTTAGTTTTACTCTCCAGGGTAGTCTATTGCTAAACAGGACCAGATATAATGGAATATGTAATAGAAGGAATGTTGTAGGTACTCTCAGGGCTGGGCCTCTCTGAGTACAGTATCTCAAAATTCCATGTACAAAACAGGTTGAATGGAGCCCCTTCACTTGCATGACCATACATATATGCAAAAAAAAAAATTTCATCAAATCACTAACAAGACAGGGAGAGTTTGCAGCCAAAAAACAGTTTCTTTGTTACTGCAGCTGCAGTACCCTAAATATTGTTTCATCTGATTTCATCAGACAAGCAATACCTGACTCTGCTAATACTGAGTTGGGAAATCACTAAGATGTTTTGAGGAAAACAGGATTGTGATTGTGATTGAACTACTATTGAGAATGGAACTGAACCAATATTGTTGCATAGCTTTAAAGCTCAATCTTCTTCCTCTGCTTGACATACCATGAACACCACAACAGTTACTCTGTCTTTTTGGTCATGGTGGAAAGAAGAGAAAAAGAAGTCCCAGATCATTAAATCAGAGAAGGGAAAAAAAACCCACAATTGTTATAATACGTAGAAATTCAACTGATATGAGCAGAGTATGCTGGCTTTAATGGAGATGGGTGCCATCATTTCCACGTGACTTTCAGAGTTTTTAATCTGGGAATTCATTCTTTTATGTTGATTTGCTGCTTGATTCAGTTCCATACCTTTGTCTCCTTCAGGGTGCTTACACCATCATCCCTCCATTTTCCCTATTTGCTTTCTTTCTGTTTTCATAGGCCTTTTATTTCTTCCTCTACAGTTATTTTCTCTCTAATCAAATTCCTTCTGTCCTGACCAAATTTTCACCTCGGGAAATAAAAAAGCATTTATAGCTGCCAAAATGAAACAAAATAGAAGAAACTAGACACTTCTGTGAACGTGTCAATCTTTGGCATGATTTATTCATGAGACAATAAAAAACAGGTGGCCATATTTTTCTTTCTGTGGAAATAGTGCTGCGCTATTGACAGCTAAAAATTTGAAAAAGGTTCCAGTTCCTTTTTTTTTTTTCCATTTACCATAAACTGATATGCAATCATACTCTTTAAAGCACATTCTTGGTAAGATATATTGAGTTCTTGGCAAGTGTGGTTTTTTGGTGTTTTGGTTTTGATAAATGGTACCCAACTGCTAAAGAGTTAAAATTTTCTGCACAGTTTTGTGGCCTTCCAATAATTCCACTGTGGTGGTGAAATGGCAGTAGAAGGTTGTCAAAGATTCTAATATTCTTTTTCTTTAGGAAGTGTATCAGTTTTTGATAAGATCAAAGATAAAATCAAATGGGTAGCTATTGGTTAAGTTTCTTTGGTGGAAATATTTGGCAGAATAAAAGGGAGAGAGAAGACACCTGTATGCCAATAAAGCAATCTTCTGAGTTTGAATAGGTTCTGCTAGTTTGGACCAGATAGAATTAGAGTGTTGTTTAATGAGAGGAATTAATATATGTGGGCTGAGTAGGCTGAAACAGTTTGACTCAGGAGCAGTCTTGAGCTTCCCCATGTGCTCCATTCGCTAAGAAGTGACAAGAGTGAATGACGTGGCACTATGAATCGAGAGTCAATCTCTTTATTGTCAGAGAACTAACATTCTCCAATGGTGTTTTAGCATTTAAAATTATGTTTTAGCATAATCTCTCACCTGCGACTCACTTAACTATAAGAAGTTAAAATGTACTGCCAAATACAGCTTTGTACATGCAAATAATCAAAAGTGTTTGCTATAATCTGAAATCCAGATACAAAGCATACTGTCTCCAGGGCTAGACACATGTCCGTTCTTTTAATACATGTAAGTGCTTAAGCATTTATCTTATGTATCTATGCCTGTTCACATTTGTAGATCTATGTACAGAAATTATTTGTTACTTAACTAAACAAGAAGAGTGTGAAAAATCTAAAGGTAATTCTTCGTAAAAGACATATCATAATAGTTCTATATCTTCCTTTTGATTTGAGTCCAATAATCTAATTTCCTATAATATAAATGTTTGAATTAGAATATGATATTTGATAGCAAGTAAATCTTCCTAAACTTGTGTTATATATCTCTGGAATTCCAAACTTCAGGAAGTACAATAATTTAACTCAAAACTGTCATGAATCTTGCATTGGAAAGTAACTTTGATCAATTGTGATGCATTAGGATTAATAGATAGTAGGTCTGGAAATCTGAAAATATACACACAAACTACACATTCTTTTATATCTTAATCTTAAAAGTAAATAAACAACAACATTCCAGAGCTCTGTCCTTCGAGGGCTGCAAGATGGATATTTATTCCAAAGTGGTCAAGTACATGGGCTGTAGGGAAATAAATTGCTCCAGCAAGAGTTACAAGGGAATGTCTGAGCACATCCTCACCCTTCTTGTCAGACCTTGTTGCTTGCAGGATCATTTCTTACACTTTCTCCTCTCTCTTTAAATATGCTATGCCAGAGAAAATGTACAAATAGCCAACAACTTCTACCTTGTCCTGTTGTGGGTCCCTTGTGGAGAAGGCTGAAACCAGCTGAGTCTGGGACAAGACTCATTCTAAACTCCTGCCAAAGCAGCCATCCCTGTAGCCCTCATTTTGCCAGCTACACACAATACAAGTGGCATTTCAGAGATGTATTTACTTTTTCAGGCTTTTTGCAAACATTAGAATTTGGACATGTAAAGACTTTGATCATAGAATCATAGACCTCTTTGGCTTGGAAGGGACCTTAAAGATCATCTCCTTCCAACATCTCTGCCATGGGCAGGGAAAGTTTCCTCTAGACCAGGTGTCTCAAATCCCCATCCAACCTGGCCTTGAACACTTTCAGGAATGGGGCATTCACAGCTTTTCTGAGGAATCTATTCCAGTACCTTCACAGTAAAGTATTTCTTCCTAATACCTATCTAAACCTACCCTCTTTTAGTTTAAAAACATTGCCTCTTGTCTTATCACTATATGTCCTTGTGACAAGTCCCCCCAGCCTTCTTGTAGGTCCCCTTAAGGTAGTGGGAGGGTGCTATAAGGTCTCCTTGGATCCTGCTCTTCTCCAGGCTGGAAAACACCAACTCCCTCAGCCTGTCCTCACAGATGAGGGGTTCCAGACCTCTGATCATCTTTCGTGGCCCTCCTCTGATCTCGCTTTAGCAGGTTCACATCCTTCTTATGCTGGGGAACTCAGAGCTGGATGCAGCACTTCAGGTGAGATCTCAGGAGAGGAGAGGGAGAAGAACACCTGCTTCACCCTGCTAGCCATGCTTCTTTTGATGCAGCTCAGGACATGATTTCCTCTCTGGTCTGAAAACATGTTGCCAGCTCATATTTAAGCCTGTCATCAACCAACACCCACAAGTCCATCTTCTCTGGGCTTCTCTCAATCCACTCTCTACTCAGACCATATTTGAGCTTGGAATTGCTCTGACCCAGATGCAGCACCTTGCACTTTGCCTTGTTCAATTTTGTGAAGTTCACATGGGCCGACCTCTGAAGTCTGTCAAGGTCCATCTGGACAGCATCCCTTCTCTCCAGCATCTCAACTAGACCGCACACCTTGGTGTAATCAGCAAACTTGCACTCAATCCCACTCAGTCCTGCTGAAAAAGATATTAAACAGCATTGGTCCCAATACTGATCCCTGAGAAACTATTACTTCAAATCACATGGAATTATGATAAGGCGAAGAACTTTGGATGTATTCTCAGTCTTGTGCCCTTAGCTACACTGAGTGAGCACAGTTTTCTTAAACTGAGTGAAGCTTTACCAGTAACACTATTCTATGGATGGTTCAGTGCTTTCAGAGACAGCCCAGTGTGCCCCCAAACTTTTCCCGATATACAAAGTTATGAAGACATGTTTAAAAATAGGAATCAGCTTCTCCTTTAGGAACTTTTCAGACTGAGCATTTTCAGATTGAAAAATTGAGCAACTAACTCAGAATTGCTAGAATATGCACCTGATATGTGGGAAAGTCTGGTACAAGCTCCAGCTCTAATTGCATCTAATTGTACCAATTGGACGTTGGTACAAGACTGTGGGCTATTTTGCAGTCTATGTCTTTCCTTCATTTTTGTAGCAGTTCTACTTTTAGTACAGATATATGCTTGTGTATGTATATAATCAAATAAAAGGAGAGACATTATCCCGAGATATTTAGAAAATTTATACATTTCTAGCACTCTGTTATGATTTTGGGTACATGCCACAATAGGTAAAATGCATTTTACTTTCTTCATCATGAATACTTACTTCACATAAATTCTAAGGAGAAAGAACGTCTTGAGCCTGAAGAGAAATCATTTATTGGATTTTGTTCACTTAGTATCAAAAAAATGGACAATGGCCAGAACATTATATATAGAGAATGACCATTTTTAATGTCAGTAATATTCAGACATTGCCAGGCAATTGGCAGCAATGCTTTGAATGCCTTGAAGCAAGGCCACTATTAAAAATACAGTATTTGGAAACATTTGGTAGTGATTAGGTTGTTACCAACATTTTAAGCCTAAATGAAGGAGAAAATACAATTATAAGATGAACAACCCTGAGAAAGGATTTTTTCCTAAACTGAAATCATTAAACTCAGAAACCTACCTTTTCAAGGTCCTTCATTGTAATCCATTATCTTTCATTCCCCTTTGTACTACAAAATTGTCAGTTTGATGATATATTACACATAACAATGTCATTACATTGGCATAACATGACAACTGGGACTCATTTGAACTTTTAGAAGTTTCTAATCCCTAAAATAAATTAAGAACTGAAGACATTTCAGACATAGAATATAAGTCACTTGTTATAAAGAATAGGGTTCTCCATACGTTTTAGAGAATTACACTTTTCTGAGACATTTTATTTTTTCCGTTTCTTTTCTCTTTAATGCATATAATAAACTTACCATGAAATATAATCCATAGATGTTCTTAGGCTTCTTGTCTTTAGGCTTACTGAAGTACTGAGTCCTCCTGTAAATGACAACTCATCTACATTAAATCTCACCACATTTTAATTAAATTTCCTGGAAATTAAATAAGAAGTTTGCCATAATTTTGAACAGAAAAAAATTTAACTGACCCCTTAATTTTTCTTACTTTAATTTTTTTCTTACCTTTAAAAATTTTTGGGTACTCTTTCTTCCTCCTCTGCTGAGCTGTTTTGAATCTTGATTTTGAGTATTCAGTGAGACATATAGCAGATAGGAAATAGTAGACTAAGGAGTTTGGGGTCAATTGCTACCCAATGTATGCAGTCTCATTGTTTTCAGCCTGCTCAGGACCTTTGAAATGCTGGCGTGTAACCATAGTGCCTTCTGGTCAGTCACAACTTTTGGACCAACAATTTGCAGCAATGGAAGATGCTTATCTTGAATCCTCTAGGCATCTTTCCCTACTCAAGTAGAGCCTATTCAGACAAAATATAGTTTCCAGGAAGGCTTATCTCTTTGTACTGTTAGTGAAGAAGGAATTCTGTGGATCAATTTCAGGAAGAAGACAGGTTAAGTTCCTCCTCTGAATTGTTTTCTGGAGCAGTATCTTCAACAAAGATATCTTGTCTCTGGAGTTATGCCTGTATGCTCTCTGACGTTTGGAAGGCTGGGAGTGTTTATCAGTTTTTTGCATGTTTTGAAAGCTGCAGAACTTCTTTGGAGCTTGCAAGTAGTAGTCTGTTTTGAGGCAACACTTGAATGTGGTTGTGTAGCTTCTACCATATTTACTCTCTTGTGAGAAAAGGTGGTCAATGGATTTCAGAGCAGTGGCCAATTTCATGTTATTATTCAGGTGTTTTGGCTTATAGGAGATTGAAAACTGAACGTGAATCTGGAAGTGCAGTTGTAGATATTTTTAGGGTCCTCTGCAGCTAGAATTCTGATGCAAACTGTGTGCCTGTTTCTCTTACATGCTACTTTTTAATGAAGCATACTGTGCATGTGCCTTGTACTGGAATGTAAACATAACGGATGGCTCTATCAGGAAATGTATGCTCTCTGCACATTATCATAATGTGAAATAAAGGATAGCAAATTCTATTCCAAATGGTTGTGATTGTACCTCATACTAGGTTTGGAGTTTATTTTTAAATTTTTAATATTATTATTCTTGCTCTGTAGTGTATTGCAAAGTTCAGCAGACATAAGGAAGATTCAGAATTTTAGTCTCTTGGCTTTATGAATAAATGTAAAATGTGTTTTCATTTTGCAGCTAGTATTTTAAAGCTTCTCACAGATTTGCATGATGATTCAGCTCAGCTTTACCATTTTGCTGAATTAGCACAGTTAGTAAGGAATTAGCACTAGTTTCAATCAAACCCCACAGTCTTTCAGATTTTGAGATCTGCTTGAAGTAGCTGTAATATGTGTAAAAAAAAGTGAAAATGAGTAGCTTCACAGATGCCTTCAGTTTTGAAATTTTTTACCTGGTGGTAGAATAGCTCCAATCTACTTTGGCTATAGGCTGCTTGTCCTGCAGAAGTATTGTCTTGGGGAAACCATATTCTGTGTAGTCTTTCTTAATGTTTTTATTTACATGTTACTTTTTTGTGGGTAGCAGCTAATATATTCTGGTAATGTGTGGGATATATTCTCCCCTTTTTTTTTTTTTTCCCAGAAAGGACATATGCAAAAGTTTGACTAAAGGTATTAATTTTCACTTAGGAAGGACTGATCCTAGTATCACTCTGATGTTTTGGCATGCACTTTGTACTGATACATTGCCCACTTCACCGTTTAAGGGATATGTGAACAGATGCTCCAGTTGATAGCCTGAAGTATAATGAAGTCCTGTCAGAGTAAGTTGTTACAAAAATAAATACATTATATCAAGTGTTTCTTCCATTCTATGTTACTTGAAACTGAAATTAAAAATTTTATTCCAATAGCATTCTGTTAGGATTAAATATCTTAAAAGTAGACAGCAAAGCATAAAAATCTTTCTTCTTCAAGTGCTTGAACAAATATATACAAAATACAAATATATCAAATGTGTATATATATATATATATATATTTGTATATATATATATATATATATATATAAATATATCCCTGTGAATTCTTTTTAAATGTAAAGGGTGGTACATACAAATCTGAAAGAAGAGTATGTAGAAGGAAAAAGAGTGTGTGGAAGATTGCGAGGGAACTGTTCCAAATGAACATCAGGTTGCATGAGTTTAACTGAAGTAGAAGGTTATTTCCTTGTGTTGAGACACTAAAACATCTTTCAATACCATTTTTCAAGGATCTAAACTTAAGTTTCTGTCTTCCTCAGGCAAAAATAAACAAATCTTATCTATGTAAAACCAATATTTTTTCTTTGTGTAATTTAAATCTTAAATAGCTATTTAAAGAATATTTATTGCTTCAATTTTGTGACAGAAAAATAAAGAAAAAACAAATGAACAAACTCTCTTGTATCATGGAAGAATCAGTAATAGTAATAAAGTAAAATTATTAAACATGGGCTTCTTTTTATCTACCCCTTTCCTTGCATTTATATTCACCCTTTTACTGCTCCTTGGCTTCTTGCAGTTGACATCTTCAGTTGGACATGCAAGTTTTCAGAATCCTGAGTGCATTTACAAGAGCAATATGATGGTAATGGTATTAACCTCATATTAACTGCCTCCCCCTCACTGTAGGGGCTGCTTCAGGTCATTTTTATGTGCTTCTAACACACATTGCAAAGTTTGCTCTTTCTTTGCAGGTCTGTAGGTCCATGTTAAAGCTGAATTTACTATCTGGAAAGCGTGTTGCATATACTGGATATACTTGCTTTTCTTCTTGTTACCCTGCATTCCTTTAATTGTCCGTAGTTGAGTTTACAGGTCTAGGCTCTCTAGGGCCAACCCTGGGTCACTTCTCTTACCATCCCATACCTGGACTCCTCTACATTCTACACAGTTTTCAACCTGCTTTTAAAGCTTCCACTGACATACCAAGCCTTCTTTACGCTATTATGTTAGAGCCATGAATATTTTGTTCTATTTTTTGCAAGAGTAAGTACAGGATTACAGTTATATAATACAGAGTTGTACAAAAATAAAGCAAAAAAGTGATAGACCCCTAGTCAATCTTTTACAGCTAAACAATCTAAAACAATGTTCTGGGCAGGTCAAGAAAAGTACAAAGTAATCCCGGCAAAGCTAATTTCTGAGTCCTTGTAACATCAGTACAAAACATATGACCTATTGTTAGCAACATGGTATTTAATGGGCTATGGGGTTCTGTTGCCCTCTATGTAGTGCACCTGGACAGGGAGAATGCAATTTCTGAATTTCAGTAAAGTATTCTCTTTTTATATTCTGAAAAGTATACTCTTTTTATATTCTGAAACGACAGAACTCTTTTACACATTTTTAACATCTGTGGGTTGTTTTTGTTTGTTTGTTTGTACTTTTGAAGTTTTCCTGAATTTCTTTTGTTGAAATGATAAAAATTTAGTACCAAGCAGGTTTTGTTTCTTTAGCAGTGGCATTCATACTCCTTATTTGCCTTCTGATTAAGGTGTCTCTTGAATTTATTAAACTGCTATTTTTGATATATGTCACATGTAAAAAAAGTCTTCAGTGATAGAAGACCATAAAAACCACAACAAGGATGGCTTTTATAGTTTTTCCTTATTTAAAACATCTTAGAAAATAAATAAAGCAAAAACCATGAAGTTTTTCTTTTAAAAGATGGAATTGACCAATCTGTATTTACAAGCCTGTGTGTTTACAATGTATGCACCAAATAATATTCCCAGTTCTCTTCAAGTAACATATATATAAGAAAAAATTGTGTGTTGCTTTTATTTCACAATGATTCATACAGAGCTGAAATGATCTGAAGTTGAAAAGAGACATTATAATTTTCTAACTCTCTCAATAATTAGTATTGAAATACAGACTCTATAATCAGTATTGAAAATTCACTATTTTACTTGTAATTCCACATATAAGATTAAGGGGTCTGGGTCATCTATCTCTTTAACAAGATGGTTTAGCCAGAATAATTGCTGTAAGGGGAGATTGTTCTCAACCCCAAATGGAAGAGCTGGACGTTTAGATGGAAATAACCTATTATTTATACTTTCAGGTTTATCTCAAAACACATGCTGTAATTAGATACTTAAAGACAAGATTGTGTACTTTCAAACAGGACAATCAGAACATGAGTTATTCTTGTAAGTAAGAGACAGATGTCTTAATCTTGAAAGCTCACCTAGACTGCAGTACAGTGATGTGTAATCTGCTGATTCAGAGACCAGTTGCCTCTGTAACACACCTTCCATACCCACCTAGGTCCTTGAATTGGTTTAAGTCTCTGAACTGAGGGTTGAGGTGAAAAAAGTAAAAAAATGTACACAGAGACACACACACACACACACAGACACGCACACAGACGCACACACACGCACACACACACACACACACACACACATATAGGTACTAAACCAGTGAGTATTTCTTTTACTTTTCCTGTCACCTAACAGTGGATGGATGCTTTCCTCAAAACCCATATAAATATGTAGTTAAATGCTTGAGCAGCCTCACTGAATGTGGGAACTAAATTCATGTTTGCAAAATTTTTGGGTGCAGCATGAGAACATACAGACCTTGATGTTTGAAATCAAATCAGATAAAACATCATATTGTCTTATTTAGAGATACTGCCTCCCTTTGAAGGTAATAATTTTAAAGCATTAAAAGTTCATGTGATGAAATATCTTGCTTATTCTGTTTTTCTGTGACACCTTCTTAAAAAAACTTGAAAATCAATGTTTAAAATGCTCTAAATTACATTTAATTGTGCACATTTTACCGTATAATTTATTAGTGTTAAGATCCCTCCCCTAAATAATTTCAAAGACAAAATAGCAAGGACTCTTATGTAGGGTTTTTTTTTTAGAGCTAAATGGTTCATCATCTCTCCTTCAGCTTCCCTTGGAAATCTGACTTTTTACATTGCAAACAAGGTGGATGAAAGTGTTATTAATTACTCAACAATATTTGAGATCTATAACTGTTTTTATAAAACACATTCAATTTGCTGTTGTATACCAGCAACCACCTGTATGCAATAAGAATATTAAATAAGAAATAACTTTTTAAAAGAGCATTTGATGAAGAACTGCTGTAACTACTTATTCTGTTTGACTTTGAGGAGATGTTGAGTAGATGGCTTGCATAGCTAATTCTCTTCGCCAGATTTACCAGATGAGCTAAAACAAAACATATATTAAAACCTGAGAATTTGTATGGTATAACCTTGTATAGCATTTTATCTTAAATCAGAACTTCTTGTCTGAATGCCTAGATTTCTCCTTAATGCTGCTTTTATGAGTGAATTTAAATCAGTCTTTACTCTGCATGCAATGAATTCAATTTTGTACTGAATGCTTGTGGCCAACTAATTTTTTTTTCTGGTTTTTGTTAGCATTCTGTAGATATTCACATTATTCACATTTATCTTTTTTTTTTTTTTTTTTTTTTTTCTCTTAAAGAAAACTATTAAACTATTAATTCTCCTATAGTCATGCTTTACAGAGTAGAAGAGTAAAGGAGGTTTTTGAATGCTGGTGATTTTTTTTTTTATTTGTTTTTGTTGAGGAGTGCCAGAAAGGCAGTAGGTTGCAGAGAGTCAGACTATATTCCATTACACAATTACCCCGGGAGTCTTAAGTGCCCACTGGGAAACTAAGAGGACTCAGTGAAAGAATTGTGTGGAATTGTACTGTGGCAGCAAAAAGGAATGAAAGATGCTTTGGATGCTGTAAAGTTAAATTGATCCCCACAGTGACAAGTGCCAGCAATAGATAAGGTCACCAAAAATTTTAGCCTTTTACTGAGCACTGAATCTTTGACCCAAGGTGAATCACCCTTCCTCGCTATGCAAACTATAGCTAAATTTGATCTGGATAATGGAGACACTGACATATCTGTGGTGACAGAAGCTAGTCATTTCACCTTTTTGCATGTGTACTTCTCAAGTGGTATCCACCTAAAATTGCAAATGCTTCAGAGAATAACTTTTTTCAGTTATGTCCTAAGCATGCTAATATTTCCTATGTAACTATCTGTGAATGTGTGTTAAAATCCATATTAATTTTAAATAAGGATGAAGGACTTTGTGGACTAGGCACTAGATTTTGTGAAAACTGTTCAGGGAAATTTTATAAGTGCAAGTATGTTATCAATATATTTCTTACAAGAAATTCAGTACTGCACGTTATAATTTATATTGTAGAAAACCCCAGCTAATGCTCTCCAGGAGCTAATATTTGATTTTTGTTTAGACTACAACTGATCTCTTTAACACTTTTGATTTTTCATAGATCAATTTACAAGACATGAACCAAATATTAAAATCATAGTCTATTGAATGGTTGAACAGATTGCAATGGAAGAAAGAAAATGTAAAAGTCTGCACCATTAAAAGTGTTGTAAAAGAAGTTTAATTAATTTTAAGCTAAAAGTACTTTTGAAAGACTAGAAACATTCTTGATTTTCATTTAATTCATCATTATGGGCCATACTTGGTAAAATATTTTACAGCTAAACTGTATGTATATCTTGAACTCCTTATTCAGCAAAGCACTCTGTCCTTGCCAAATTGAGACTTGGTACCCTGTAGTCCCCAGTCCCGGAAACTATTTAAATTCTTAATGCTTATTGATTTTATTGAAGGTTATTCTGTGGCTAGAGTGTGTTTTATTGTGCTTACGGGAAAGCCTGTTGTTAAATTAAAATTGCACTCCTCTAAATTTTTGTTTAGAAGTAGTGTATTCAATATTTTATGTCCAGTGTAGTAAGTCCAGAGACAGTTTGTGAAGCTCACAGCTGTTCATCATCTGTTGGATTGTTTCACTTGTTAAGGTATTTTGGAGTAGAGCTAAAATAAATATAGGTGAAGAGGCACAGTTTTTTATTTGGACTCTTCAACTTCCTGTAGAAATATGTATCCTACCTTGAGCAAGTGCCTTTGTGTTTTATGTATTTGAGGAGTCTATCCTGCCTTTATGTCAAAATGGCATGTGCTGAACAATTGTAATGTTGTGCAAGCTTCTAAAAAGCACCTCTAAATAAATATATTAATTTGTATTTTATACTTTGCATTATGATTTTCAAATCTGTATTTAAAATTAGGCTAGCAAACCTTTATTTTATTAAAGTAGCAAGCCATATGATATCATATAAGTTGTACAAAGAATGGTTACAAAAGTCTTTATTCTTTAACATGCTCAACCATGCTTCTTCTGTCCATTTCACAGCTTTGTAAATTCTGTCATTTACCACAGTAGTTTCCACTAGGAAATTAGGTTAAAATAGGTATATCTGATATAAAATTAAGAATTTATTTGCTAATATGAATATGCATTTTTCTGAAAAGCATCATTATTTAAGGGTAGTGTTTTACTGTTTTCATTGATGGAGGAGATCCAGAATTTACTTTCTTTAACATTTTCTTGTCATCATTAACAATTTAAAAGATTCCATGTTTTATTTTATTTTTGAATGCATAAACAAATAATTAATAAGTTACAATGCAAACATAAATTTCGGAACTGCACGCAAATGTTCAAAAATATTTTTAAATTGTTTGTGCTATTTGCAATAGAGTAATCTAATCACTGTTTCAAAAAAATCACAATAGTCTGCAGGATTTATTGAATTATGTAGAGAGTGAAAGTGTTTGTCATGTGCTACATATAAAATACTAGCTATTGCTTCCTCTTTTTTATGCACATATATATCCTGCTTATAGAGATTTTTGGGGTTTTGGGTGTTTCATTTGTTTGGTTGGTTTTATTTTTTGTATTTAGTTGTTGTTTTGTTTTGGGGAGTATTGTGACTATAGATCTGCCTAGTATTTTCTGACTAAATAGATTGACTATATAGTAGAAAACCAAAATGTTTTTATTTATGAGTTTACATTTTTCTGTTAAACACAGTAAATTAAAACAACACAACAGAGGATTTGGACAGTATTTTAAATTACAGAATTTGAGAAATAATATAAAAATCCTTTCTTTACATATGATGGCACAAGTGTCAGGATCTATCTTGATGTTTTAGAGACAGATAATGCAGAATGGATACTGAAATCAGGAAAATATTTTATTTCTTAGTATAAACCTTATGATGTAGTAGCTGAAGGAAATGACGATTCCCTTTATGACAGGGGTGCTTAAATTTGTGTAAAACACTTTTGAGACACACATTTTATATTTTTAATTTAAAAGTTATACTCTGTTTTGTGTATGACAAATAATATGAAGACAAATAGATTAATTCAATGTTAACGCACCTGTGTGTAGAAAGTTTCCTAAATATATGAAGTCATTTAAGGAATATGATCATTTTCCACAACTCAAATAGGGGGGGAAATGTCTTATGAAAGTTAAGCAACTAATTTTTTAAAGAATATTATTAAATCATGTACTAAGACTAGCATGTAGCTGTAATGAGAATACTTAATAAATTATGTTTGGAGGTTTAAGACAGAAAAAATACTTGAGACCACAATCAGGAAGAGTTTACTTAAGTTTTAACCATCTTTTTTCAGTTTATTCCCAACCTCGCGCTTCATTTGTGTGCTGACTTCTCTGTGTTCTCTTTCCATCTTTTCTTTGCATCTTCTGAATACCTTAGCTTTGTCCATCTCAAGGTTCACCTAGTCTTTTCTTCTGATTAACTTCAATTTACAGTCATTAAAGAGAAATCCTTGCTAAGGATCCAAAGACAAATCCTTGCTTTTTGCAGAAATTATCTGAAAAAGGAAATTTGTCACATGGGAAGTGTTGTGCTCTTCTGTCCTTAATCTCTTCAAAATTGAAAATACAGAACCCCCCCTTCTTCTGATGGAAAATTGTTTCAAAAATACCTTTGTATACATTAGAATATATTGCTTGAGTAACATTAATATTAAACTGTATGTTCATCAGGTATTTCTGATGACTGTTGAAGACACTGGGTAGTTGTCCCTTTTATCTAATTCTCTTTAATAGTTCTTGTATTCTTTTGCCCCAACTAAATGGGTAGATTACTCTGAACACAAGATCTTTTAGTGGGAAATATTCTGTAGAAAACCCCCTCTAGAAACCTCTTTCAAACAATGGGTTTGGATGAAACAGCTTTTTCTTTGAGGGAGACATTCTGTGAATGCAATGTAGCTACAGTATATGGAAATTCCCGTGGAGATTAAAAAAGAAAATAGATTCTCAAGTCTGGTTATAGCCCTTTGGCTCCACTGAGACTCTGTAAATTGTTTTATCCAACCATAAATAACCAGTGGAACATTTTCCTGCAGGCACATCTGTGCCACTGATGAGCCATTAGTTTTCCCCCTTTGGGTCTGTGCTGGTAGGAGGCACGTTGAGAATGATGTAGCTGACCTTCATCACTCCAGATGGATCCTGAAGTGGCACTGGCTTCATTAAAGACCAGTGTCACTAGCATTACAGTGGCCATGGAGCAGATTGTCAGATGAAGAATATCTCCTCTCTAAAGACCATAATCATTTGCACTGAGTGAAAACTGTGTAGTTGAGCCATAGCTTAATTCTGAATCCTTCTATGTGCAAGAGTTTGTGGCCCAGTCTGTAACTGCAGTTAATTCAGTACTTGCTCAGGACATTCTCAGTAAGGAAATCTGCCACTTCAATATTACTCCATGAAAGCTTGAACAAAACGTGTTACATTTATTAGCAAAGACTGCTGCCTAATGGGGAGAATCAGATTTTTTTACTGAAAAAATCTTAAGATGAAAATGGCATTTATGCCTTTGGCTGCCTCATATGAGATTGATTCTGTCCATTTACTTTCCTAAGAGCTTTCTGTCCTTCCAAAACTGTGATGCAGAGCAGCATATGCTGAAACACTGTGCCAAGTGGCTCACAGCCGAATTTTCTGTTGTTCCTTTTTGCCCTGTCACAGTACTGAAACAGTCCTCTCCCAGAAATATGAAACCATCCATCAGCATGATTGATTATGAAGTTCCTTAAATAATAATTCTTTTGAAACATCTTTTTACTAACCAAGGAACCCTTTTAATGGAGTGCTAGGTTAATCTGGAGTCTGCTGACAGATTTTGCTTAGCAGTCTTCATTCTCCAGCCTTCCTGAACTTTGTCAGCTGTGCATTTTGCAAAGATATTTCAGAAGCTGGACACTTAAGCCATCTTCCCTCTGCTCAAAGTGAGCCTTTGAGGAAGAAAGCAATCAGTTAACAGTTTGTTTTGAGGTCTGTGTTCCATAATACTGCCTGATCTTTTTGTCATCTGACCACTGACTATCAAAAGAGTGTTACCTTCTACGCTGTCAAGACTCTCCAGTTAACTGAGTATTTTCTCAACTCATGTGTCTTTGAAGATTCTTGCTGAATCAGGTTAGGTTAGGTTAGGTCAGGTTAGGTTAGAATATATAGTAGCCCCTCAGCAATAGTGTAGTAATTAACCTTATTTTCACCAATAGTTAAAAGATCCTTCAAACTGTTGTCTCTGAGAGTAAATTACCTCAGAACTAAAGCTCTGCAACTATAGCAACTTTGGCTGTTTTCTTAGGGGAAAAGATTATTCAGCCTTATAGCACTGCAAATCCATTTTTGTTTGAAGAACAGAAAAATATAAAAGTCAGATGAGCCAAGGGAAGCCCTGAAATAGTTTTGTACCAAGGCAAAAGGTGTGTGTGAAGGAGTGAGATGGTGCAGGGTTGTTTTTGTATCTTGGTAAGAAAGATCTGACAAAAAATGGCTCAATAAAATAACTGTTTTAATAAGACAGAGTAAAAAGAGGAATGTAGACAGCATGTAAATCTTCTCTCCCTCCAGAGGCTGAGACCCCTCCTTTCATGCAGAATTGGATTGACCCCAAATAGGTTTTTGCATTAGACACTGTGCAGATCTTGTCTTTGGATGCAAATCTTGGTTTTGGTTATTCAAACAATTATATAAATTGCTAACTATTTGACATACAATGGTTTTCCAGTCTGAATCACTAGAGAGATACTTTGTTAAGATACTGTCAGGAACAAGCCAGAGGGAAGCATATAGCTCAATAGAAACTATTAGAATTATTTTTTATGAAACACAGGTGTTAAAGTCAAAAAGCTATAGTATACAGGAAAATAGTGTTTTATAGATTATTGAAGATTTTATGCATGAGGAGAAAAGCAGTTTTGAATTCCCTATGGTCTAATATTTGAGAGGTTGTGAAAGTAGGGTGTGATTTTACTTCTTTTAGAGACAATGGCAAAACTCCCATGATTTATATGTGAAGTAAAATTTTTACAGCAAAGGCTGACAAGCATTCCAAAATTCCATATTTCTTGAACTTTAAGTCCAAATTTAATTCTTAAGCTTTAATGCTTCTAGAATTTCTCAATAAAATCTGTTACACAGCGATTCCTTGCTATAGCCTGTTCAATTAGCAAATATGCAAATATGTCCTAGAAAGCAGGTGGACATAATTTCATACTGTGTTGGTGGTTTTTAATATTTATTGTAAATGATACAGAAAATTATTGACCACTAGTTGGGAACAGCTTGTTTCAGAGCAGGTCATGAGGCTTCAGCTTTCATGACCTCAGCATATGCTACACATTGGGGAACTTACCCAGTGACCCTCCGTTCCTTGGCACTCTAGTAATTGTGATTGCTTATCTAGACAGTATCCTACTTACTTATCTTCCGATTCATTTTAAGGGAAGATTTTTTTTGAATGATGACACTGAAAACATGTAGGAGTGTTCTTTAAAATTTTTTTTCAGGATTCTTGTTTGGATGTGATAGCATATTTCAATAAAAATTACATAATACTCTGAAATCTTCATTTCTGAGCCAAACCCCTTATTATTATTTTTTTCTATAACATATTAGCTCCCCACGATTGTATGGTATTCTTTTTTGATCCACAATTTGTTCTGCTGACTTTGAAGAAACAGTTGTGAGAGCTGTGCTCCTTCTGAGTATCACTATGTGTATATTGTCACTATAGGCTACATTTGTTTATTGACTGATAGCTGTGACCTCACTTTCATGATTTACATGTGGACTCATCTGTGTTGTTTCCTTTCTACACATTCAGAGATACATCATCTCACCTATCTTATCTCAGTTTGTCATCTGCGCACAAGCGCTCCTATGCTAATTGACATGATAAGGATATGCCACCTACAGAGGAATAACAAGTTTTTTTCTGTGTTGTGCAGTACACAAAGCTGAGTTTTTTTGTGGGTGAGATGCACAACAGCACATCTTCCCTTCACAGCCCCTAAAGCATACATAATTTTGCCATATGTATGAAATATATTATTTATACCTTATATACACAATCATTTTGAAAACCTGAAAACTAGTTATTACTGATAGATCATATATGTTAACTAGACCATGGAAACATTGATAGGGACAATAATTAAAGAGTCAAAGAAGCATTAGAGAACATTTTAGATCTTTCTACCCTGTATGTGTTGAACTGTCAAGAAAAATGCAGTAAATTAATTAATATTTGTTTTAACATAATAAACAAGGCAGTTGCTACTTTTACCAGTTTGACTATCAGCTTCTGGAATGACACAACTACTATAAATTTGTGGGCTCTTTCCACCTTCCATGTATATAATGACTATTGGTTTTTACAGAATTTCTGAATGGGAAAACACACCATCATGAGGAGTCCTGAGACATTGCAGTTGCTCTGTGAATTTTCCTGTATTTCTGCAGAAACAGTTCACTAATTATGATATAAACCCCAGTTCTCCTAAATGTTACACAGCCTTTTTCATCTGGTTAGTGTTTGTGGTTCATATTCAGGCAGCTGTTACCAGCAAATTATGCTGGTATTCTAAAAGGGAGGTCTGTAAGAACAGTAATAAAAACCTGAAAAAAGTAATATGTTTTAGTAAAAATTTTTGTCTCATACGACAGTTGTTAATGGAACATCAACATGGAGTTTTCTCTCTAGAAAAACAGGCAAAATTGTCAGCAACAAAAGACTTTTTTACTCCTGTTCTACAGACTTAAGTGTACCAGTTGAATATATTTATGATCACAAGGGAAAGGCAAGATCTAAGTAGATATTAATTTATCTACTTACCCATGATAGAATGCTGACAACAACCATGAATGCCTTTAGTGGACTCTGGGTATGATGGTGCTTCCTGCACACCAGTATATCCATTCAGACTGGGGGTATCTTCTATAAAAGAGTAGAAATTCTTCCAAGAGAAGAGAATTACCAGGATAAGAATCAGAGTTTGGGGAACCTAACTCTTGAAGGGTAGATTCTTTGAGAGTTCATTCTCCAATTCAAAGAGTTAATTTTCTTCACAGTAAAAATGTAGAAATATGTAAAAGAACCTCATATGAATAGATCATCAGAAAACTGCCAGAGCTTCTTGTCTCTAGAATTAAGAATGTTGTCACATTGAATAGAATGTGTCAGAGCTATAATTCATAGTCAAATCATTTACAACAAAGAAAGAGGAAATGTTGTCTATGGATGCAACTGATTAGCAGAAGAGCAATTTTAGGCAAATATATAAATTACATGCAAAGCTTTTTGAAAAAAAAGTTATGAAAACACTTTGTGCCTCTGTGTCTAAACTTTTTCTTTGTCTGAAGTGTTTAAATGTAATTTAAGATCATGAAGAACTAGAGGAAGGGAAAAAGCAATCTAGTGAATTGTTCTATAGCCTATGTTTTGAATAAAACTGGTTATACACTGGATATTCACTGTGACTGTATTGTACATGCTAAGTACTGGCATACTGCTCAAATAGTGGGATAAATTGTTTTATATCCACTCATGTTTTCTTTTTTTTTTTTTTTTTAAAGGTTATCTGCTCAGCCTTGGGTCTCCTATAACCACTATTCAAGAGTGACTGCGATGGATTTACATGTGATGTCAACAGAAAATTCACCATATGTCAGCTGACCAAGAAAAATTCAATTTAATTTTCTGTCTTTCATATTTTTCATTGTTCAGCTAGAATGAGTAGAATAGATATAGTAAAATTATAAAATAGTGCTGAATTTTTAAAGATTTGTTGCAAACTGATGTCTTTTTCCATTTGCAAATTTGGATAATTTAATATGCAAATTCCATGCCAATATCAAATAACTAAATTATCTCTTTCAAGAAATTTAATCCTTTTTTCACCATCCACTATCCAGAAGTGAAAATCTTTCACATAGACTCATATGAGATAGTCAATTATTACAACTAGATTGAATTTCTTTAGCTAAGCTTACATCCAGGTTTCTGTAGGTCCAATAGCCTGGGTCTGTCTCCCAAGCCCTCCTCCAAAATGACACTGGCAGGTGCCATAGCTTATGGAAGGTGCCTCTTTTTTTGAAATATAATCTGGGCCAGCATTTATGTGGAGAGTGATTTCTATATCAAAGTATAGAAGTCAATTGAATATTTTGCTTTCTCTATTGCAATAGAACAGAAACTCTTTTAAGTTAAATGTATCTATCATTAAGTCTTTATTAAGAGTCAAATTAATAAATTTAGAGTTCAGCTAAAAGCTAAGAAAATCTCTTACTTTTTCCATTTATGCTTCTGTTCAGGAAATATCACACTCACTTTCATAACCCCTTCACATTCAATTTCCATAGAAATTACAAGGCAATAAAAGAAGAAGTTGTGATATCTTTCTACTATAGTATCCATAGGCAGTTGCTTAAAATAAATAATTATTTTATTTTACCTGTGGTTCCTGGTGCTTCCTTTTTTTCATAAAGCAGCACAGAAGAGGTCTTCACAGTTTCAGAAGAAAGGCAGAAAGCTTTTGTGAAAATGAGATGGACTTTTTTTCCTATGAGTCTGTTTGTTGAGTGAAACTGCTGGAATGCTAGCACATTATTAAAAGGCAGCAAGAGAAGCATACTAGATAATTGTGGCAGTAGGACTTGTTGAAGTTCAAGAACACCAGGGAAAAAATGAATATTGTTCCTGATGTGTTTGGTTGCAATTGTACAGATTTAGCAGAAATGTGTCAATTCAATTAATCAAGTTAAAATACGTAAATTCAAGGGAGTAAAACAACACCAAAACTTTGGGCACTATGTAAATGAGCGATAAAATTCAGATATAGAAAGGAATGATTAAAGAAAATATATTATAGAGCTGGCGGCAGAATATGCAAGATATATATTTCCAAGATTTGGAATGCATAGCCTATGATGAATAATATAACTTCAGTAACATAAAATCAAATAGCTGTATTTGTACTGTGACAGAAGAGACATATATTTCATTCTTATAAAAAAAGAATCTGGTAGGTTATGTGGAAGTTTGTAAATGACTGCAACTCAGCAGACCTTGCCCATGGTAACAGCTTCATAATGTACAGTCATAGACAGGCTTAAAAACTGGCTCAGCTAGTGCCAGCATATGCAGTCAATGTAATTAAAACCTTGAGTGTCTGCAAAATCCAGACTATAAAATCAAATTAGAAGAGGCTTTGCTCACAGTGATATTGTTAACTGAGCAGCTAGGTGAAAAAAAAAACAAAACAAAACAAAAAAAAAGAATAAAAAACCAGAGATGATAGAAGCAAATCAGAGCTTGAAATCAACCTGGGCTTTTCAGGAGGCAGTGTCTAAAGTCTAAATGATTACGAGAGGATGACTCTAATTACATCCCTCAGTTTGTAATTTGATATCGTTCAAATGGATTCAGAGTTGCCCCTGCTTATAGCTGAGAACTAGGCTTGGAGCCCACAGAACAAAATATCAATTTAACAACCTGCTTTTGTGTAAACCACAGGAAAAGAAAAACCCTAAAAGTACTACAGACATATTAGAGGATAAGATTTAGGATATTTTTATAGTTAAAAATAATTCCACCCATTGCTGTCACATATAAAAGCTACAAATCTATTATAAAAAAATCTCTTTTCTTTGAACAAGGGACTGTTGAAGTCCCTTTAATTACAAATGGAGACTTAGGTGAGCAAGCTTTGCATATTGGTAGAACCCTGAGTTCTTTAAATGAAATTATATTTTTAATATGAAACTTTCTTAAACATCAGGAGAACCATACTGGTCTATGAATGTATGCCAAGGTAAAATAGACTGTTCTTCTCATTAATTAATCTTGTTATTTAATGACTAGCACTGGTGGTGGAATTAGAGAGTTCACCCTAAAAAAATCATAACATGGAAACAGCAAGTGACGATCCTTCTATCCTTCTCTCTTTCTTATCAGTATAATGCCTATGAAAGGCTAATGTGATTTCCGTATAGAATTTATCAATATTATTCAGTATAGAATCACAAGAGTGTTGGGAGTATACCCAAGACAGAAAAGAAAGATTTGAAGAGAACAGGGATTCTCCCCTAAATTCAAAGCTATTTCTCCTGAGTACAGTCATCTGAATATAATATGACTTCTCAAAAAGAATTCTCTGTATATTGTTTTTACCTGTTTCATTTCCTGTAAGGTGATATACAGTAGAAAGGTAGTGTTGGCTAATAAAATAAGTATTCTACTAGTATTTCAAATGTTACTAGGATTGCTCATAGTCAGTAAAAATCAGTAAATAACTCATTTAGAGGGTGGGAAATAATGGCATGCCTCTAAGAAATGTTTTTATTAAAGAGAATGTAAAAGCCCTGGAAAATTTTGCTGACATATGCTTTCAGGAATTAATTTTATTTTATTTAACTGCTGTCTTGGCAGAAGGAAGAAAATTTTTAAGGCTGTTGAGCCAAATGACCCATGTGCCTATTTGATGCTCCTTTCTTACCAACCTCTCTGAAGCTGCTCCACTTTTACTCTAAAAGCCCTAATTATTATAAATTGTTCCATTATGTGTTGGAATTTATGGCAAACAGTATTCAAAGATGAGATGCAGCAGACAGATGCACTATGTGGACAGATGGGTTTTTCTGGGACTCCTTGGCAGGATGCTACCAGGGCAAGGAGCAAGGGGGGCCAGTCACACACAGAGAAATGTTCCTGGGCAAATAATGTAAGTTAATTTTGCCTGGGGAAGGAGGACGGGAAAACCAGACCTTTACTACGTGAGATTGTGTGAAGCAGACATCTGTAGAAGCTCTCCTTATTTGTGTGTTGAGTAGCAGAGCTCACACAGACTTCAAGAGTTCAATTATTGAATTTGGATGGAATTCCCAAAGTCAGACTTGCTACTTTACTTTCAGATCTTAAAGTGAATGATATAGCTCTTCAAATGTCATCAAGTTTTTAAACATGAGAAAAAAACCCCACAGAATTAGAAAGCATGAAAAAATAATCCCTTTATTTTCATGTGGAAAAGTAGTGGTGTTTAACTGAGCAGCCAGTAAAAGAAATTACAATTGGCTTTTGTATTTCAACAGCCTTTGTACTTCAGTATTCCATAATATGGAATAAATCGGAAGGAATTTTGAAAAGGACTAATGAGTAAGTGATTGATTAGGTGGAACTTTATGAATATTACAGAGAAGATGAAATATACTCTATGTACCTCTGGTGATTATAAATTTGTTGCTTTTTTTTTGCTTCTTTTAAATTTTTTGCCTTTTTTTAAATAAAAGTCCAGGAGGCAAGCATACACTGAAATGAGGAAGCAATTTTCTGAAGTCTCTGTAAGAATCAGAAAGGTCATTGTTTTCTGTATTTTTGCCCTGACATTTTTGGAAGGTTCACAGAAAATTAAGCATATTTTCAACAGCTTTGTGACCTTGCTTGAAACAATGCCAAATAAGTAGTAATAAAATATTTCTGTATAATTACTTCCCTTAATATTTTAAGATTCTGTTTTTCTCCAAGTCCCTTTTTGTTGTCACTGGTTGTGACAGCAAGAGATCCATAGCATTGAATGAATATTACATAAGATCCTTGCAAAACAGATGCCTCTAGAAATTCTTTTCCATCCTCTCATTATCATGGAAAGCAGTCTTTCAACCATCTTTGAAACCCCTCCCAAAAATGTGCTCTAAGCTCATCTACTCATGTCTGTGAGCCACCTGCATGTACATCTGTACAGGAAATGCTGGTCATATTGGCCATCATTACAGATTGTTCTTCTGTTTTCCATTTCCAAGGACTGAATATTGCACTATTTTCTTTTTCTGTTTACATTGCATGCAAATATTTTGCTTGGTAATGCTAAAGTGAACAGCGAATACCATTCCATATGATTAGTGTTGTTCCACATGATAGCTGGAATCTATTCAATTTAATGACCTTAACTGGTTTTTCAAGTGGGATTTTTTTTAGTCAGGCTGCCTAATTAGATTTCTGGATTAACATTAGAAATGCCCTTCAGGGTGATAGCTGAGGGATTTTTAGTACTGCATTTTGTCTCTGACCTTGGCCACTACCAAAGTGTTTGCATTTTAAACTACCGTGCCTGAATATGGGTGGGTTAACAGAAGGTCCTGAGCAGCTTTAAGCAGTATTGCAGTATATTGAGTTACCCTATATAATATGTACACTGTGTAATATAGTATTAGACTATATCACACTATACACTGTTTTGTACCATGTTGTTCTGTACCATGGCTAGATTTGACATTGCCTGTAAATATTTAGGCAGCTCGTGGGTCTAAGTTTGATAGCTATTAAGATTCTCAGGATAGAAAGAGATGAAATGGGCTTTACTGCATCTAAATTAAAGAGAAGGAAGTGATGACATGGCTGTGAAAACACTGTTAGAAATCTGTTATCAGCAAGACTTTTGATTCCTTTGCTGCCTTTCAGGTTTTGAATGTCTTTTGTGGTGGCCTAGGACTTTTTTTCTGTTCTGTTTAAGGAATAGGTACTTGGGAGGAAAAATTCCTATTGTTACCTGAAGTATTTTACCTTTTACAGTGGATTCTTCATTTTGTCTCACAGTCCTTTGTGTACGGAGCAATAGAGAGGGGAACCAAAATCAAACAATATGCTAAGGTTGAAATATCCTTGATAGGATTATAGAATGTGTTGCACACTGTGTCTGAACAAAACAGGATCACAGGAAAGAAGACAGGTCAACTTGTTGCTTGCTGCAGAAAATTTAGAGGCAATGAAAAAATCTCTATGCATGTAAGAGAAAGCAAGGGACTCAGATTAAGAAACTGACAGAATCAGCAGTGAAAGAAGCCAAGAAAAACAGATGCCAGATCTAAATACCAATTCTGTAAGGACTGAATCACTTATTCAGCAGCCATACATTGACTGCCTACAATAATTGATATGGGTACAATGCTGTTGTCTGCTTGGGGAAGAGTTTTTGCATAGTCAGATTGAAATTATTCAGAGAAGTCAAAAATGGCTGTGAAATCATCTTTCTATTTTTTTGTTCATACAGATACTATAATGATCCAGATGTCTGCCCTTCTCCAAATCATCGATCAACTCTCTGGGCTATAAACATAGTGTTCAAAACATATTTCACAATTTAGATTACACACTACTGTCTGATACTTTTAATGTATGTGTGTGTCCAAATACTTTCAAGTGTATTTTCAGTATCTATTAAAATCATACTTTTGTCAGTTTATGGTCTAATAATGAAAGATATTACAGACTGTAAAAACATGGATTAGAATGATCAATGTTGTGTTTCTTAATCCTGTATTGTTTGGAAGTTATTGAAAAAGCTATTGTTGATATGACAAGGCGATTGTTCATGCTCAAAAATCTTTCAGTTTTGAGTTTGTTGCTAAATTTTGTAAACACCTAGCACTTAATATGTAGGGACCTTGAGAGTCACCAATTTAATTTCACTGTTCCCATACAGGACAAATTGTACAACTAAATTTCTGAGCACTGTTTGTCACTCTTTCTAAAAGTCTCTAATGAAAGAGTCTCTGGTCACATTCAATAAATCAGTGATATACAAAAGAACCCTGTGGAAAATGGGCTTTGAACTATCCAAGTTCTGCAGGTAAAAAATTACTTAGAGAAGACTTCACTGTATAGTATACATTCTTTTCATTGAACCATTTCTAGTTTTGCTATATATGTACACAGATACAGTAAAAATACAGAAAAAATACATTTAGAGCAGTCAATGGATACATGCTATTAAGCCATAGTATTGCACAAACTAGGAAGTAGAAATAAATTGTGATTGTTATATTTCTAGATTATGGTTTTTGAAACACGTTTTTTTTCTCTTTTTTATGTCTATAGAGTTAAACATACTGAATAATTTAAATAAATACGCCAATGTTTTAGGTTTATTTTATGTAAAAGCTTGTCTATTTTTTTAAGATGGAAGAACAAATTGTTATAGCTGGTTTTCCATGTGGTGAACTTCATTGATTTTTATCAACTGTATGCTGGTATAACAACTTGATTTGGATTTTTCAGCATTTAGAAGTAAGCAAGGAAGCAGGCAACTCTGAGTTTCCATGATATATACGGTTGGTTGCTGCCAGTGAAGAGGATGTTTTTTAATACTGAATAAAGCAAGCACTGTATAAAGCAAGGCTATAGGTTATTTACTAATTTAATATTAAAGAAATATCCCCTCATTTTGATCTTAGAATTTGGGAGACACAAATGGAAACAAGTCTTGCCTGCCACTTCAATGCTTAATGTTGAAAGCAGTGTTTGTTTTGAAACTGGTGCAGTAGCACTGTTACCAAAATGAGTAAGTATTTTCGGAGTTAACATAAGGCAGCATCTTAATACCATCGTAATTCTCTAACATGGAAGAAAGCAATAAGCATGACATCCTATAAATGAGTGGTAGATGTTTGCTTTTAAAAAGTGGATTGTTTTCTGAATGTTAAGCAATAAAAATAAAATGTCAAATAATATTAAGACTTCTGCCTATTATAGATTAATATTTTTTTCTTGGTACTCTCCTTAAGTGTAAAGATAGTATACTGATCATTACACTAATTTAGCTACTTAATTTGTGTATATTTGAAAACTTATCCTTGCATTTTCACCTTAATTTGTTGATCTCTTTTGCTGTGAAGGTGTTGCAGAATGTTTCTAGACAGTTATGCTTCAGCTGATATGTGAATAAAATTCAGTATTGGATAAAGTGATTCTGATGTAGAATTTATAAAGTACATTAGGGCTGCATAAGAAAAAGAACTGGCAAGACAGCTTGATGTGTATGCCCAGCAAGAGATAAATGCTTAACCAAGGATATATTGTCTGAACAAGCCAGGTATAGCAGACTGCTTCCTGTTGGGAGATAAAACTATGTAGATAAAACTTTTGTTTTAAAAGTGAGAATTTTGTTTTTAAAATTTTACTGGCAGAATTTTTCAGGGGACATCAAATCGTTAAAATATTTGTCTAATATTTGTAGATATGGACAAGAGTCTCCTTTTAGTTACATATCTAAAATTTATTCTACATAATGGAGGGGACAGGATTAAAAAGAGAATTTAAATCCAATAATAACTGTTCACAAATTAAACCTGATACTTGACAGGAAAAGTGCTGCCAATTTTCAGCTTAAATGTAGAAGAAAAAAACCCAGAACAGAGTGTTATTTCAGCTCAATTGTAAAACTCAATGCTCTTAGAAACTGAGAGTGGTAGAAATAATAGGAAGGGAAAACTTTGTCAGAGAAACAGGGGGAGGAAATATGGTCACAATAGAGGTTGTGGATAATACACACAAAATGCAATAAATAAATAAATAAATAAATATCCAGTAGGAATATAAGTAAAGCTTGCAGGTTATTAAAAGGGTTTTAAGAATTCATAGATTAGTTACTTAGGCTATATTACATTCATGGAGTCAAATAAATTTGAAGACACATTTATGGTTTCACTTGGAGACATGAATGAGAGGCAGCAGTTATAGAACCTAGCACACTTTAAACAGCTGTAGTGGCTCAAGCCAAAGGCTGACTTGTGTTCTGTATCCCTCAATATCCACAAGTGAATGGCTTGAAAAAGGAAGAGCGGGACAAGGTTATAAAATGACACTTCTGTGTAATGCTAATTTCACGCTCCAGCTATTTTCACATTGAAAATCTCCTGAGTCTATGTCGTCCTATTAATTTGCAACTCACCACAAATTTCTTTTCCATAAACCTTTTCCATCTCCCAGTCTACCAACCTACGTGAACTTCTTGGATCTGTGTTAGTTTTACAAGGTCTTTTGCACATACATTTTTCTGTCCTGAAAAGTCTTCCTACTGTCTCAATTTGACACCTGTTCTTTCCTGCACTGGAAAAGAAAATTAACAATTTCTGTCCATCTTACTTTATGCCACTTGTAGTTTTATTATCCTCTATAATTTCTCCTTTCATTTTTTTTTTTCCATAAGGAAAAGTGACAAGTCACTTCATAGGTCAGTATACAGAAATCACAGAGATATTTTCTAATGAAATAAAAACATATCTATAAAGTGTCAAAGTTTTCTAATGTGTGGGAAAACTTAAAGTATAATTAACTGTATGGTGTAATTACCAATTTAGCAGTCACCAAATAGAATAATAGAGAGATGTGAAATATTCACAGAGATTTAGCTGGATCAATATACTTCTTTTGATTTTATTGGTTGTTTGTAGAGTTTTATGTAATAATTTCTGTTCCTTTAGCATGCAGAATTGAACAAGTGATAAAGAGTGCTTTCTGTTTATCTCTCTTTTCCTTTGGTGTTACATAGCTTAACCAGTGCCACAGAACAGAGGCAGTTGATTGTAGAGCTATTCAAATTTCTCATCAGATAAACTGGAATATTTTGTGTTTAGTATTTGTGCTCTTCTAAATAATTTGTAATAGGTTTGTTGCTATCAGAACTTTCCCTATTTTCTTCTTTTTGCCTCTTCACTGCAGACCAGACTTTTTCCCGTTTTACACAGTCTGAACTCCTTCTTATCATACATTTTCACCCTTGCTTGTCTGAGGCTGTTTTGGTGATTTCCCTCTATGCTATTTAAGACCATCATTATCACTGTTCAGAATGACTCTGAAGAAAAGTTGAACCTCTTGTTAAAGCAGTATGGGAGGCAATTTACAAAACCTGTCATGTATCACTACAAAATCAGCTTTAGAACAAATTATAGGAGAAGAATTTGATACTGAAAAACCTCCTACCAGCTAAAAACTTTTATCACTATTAAAGTTCCTTACCTAGCTGAGGGAAAACTGTACCACAAATAGTCATTCAGAGACATGAGAATATCTGTTTCAAGACCAAATTCTAAATAGATTCAGTTTCCTATTTCTTCTGAATGCCATTTCATTTTTGGGTTTTAGTAACTATTAATTTAAAGACTAGAAACAAAATTCTTCTTTCTCATATCTTTCCTCTTCTCATGAAATCTATTTCAGGTATTTATTTACATTCACAAGGTGCCCTCATTGATAAAAAGCTTCAGCCTCTATCTGGTTTTGGAGGTCCCTGCTCACCAAATCTTAGTCCTTGATAGGTTTCTTTGATACTGCTACTCTCTTATTTTCAAAAGACAATGTTCTAAAGAAAAATAGTCTTAATTTGTCTCTCTGGCCTGGCACTGACTGTTTTCTAACCCCAGCTACCCATGCGAAGAACCTTACTCATTTCCATCTGGGGACAAATATTTCTAGCCAAGAGACACATCAAATCTTCTTCTTCCTTTTTCTTTGTCTTCCTTCCTACAAGAGACATAAAGAACTGCAATGAAAAATAAATGCATGAATAAATAAGCATTCAGAGGATCCAGCAACAAATCACCCAGAAGGAAAGCAATGCAGAGAAGGAAGTTGAAAGAGTCATGGGAAAAAAAAAACCAAGCTTGTTTGAGGTAGTCACCCATAGCAAGTACATGGCAAGGACATCTGGATAGACATTGTTAGTTTGTTTCTGTGATGATTCCTTAAAGAGGCTGAGTTTCACAGATGACCAATTTATCAACTAACTGTCATTCTACACCTTCTGATATTTAATCTTGTATATTTTGACACCAACAACTCTCTTGAGAAATTACAGAGATTTTGTAACAGCATGAAAAGAAAGCTTTGCCCCCTCCAAGCTGCTGTTACTGAATGTAAGGAAACAAGAACCCAGAACATGAGACATTGTCTTGTTGTGTGGTCTAGAGCTGAGTGCTCTAAACCTCTGACCCTGACAAAGGAGGAGGTTGCCCGTTTTGTTGCTGACAGAATGAAAATTAGCTCAATCTGAGATTGCATTTGAATACAAATTTCAGAACTGTTTAAAAAATTCCAACATTTTCCTGGAATGAATCAGGCAGGGAGACATAGCTTATGAAGTGTATGTATGCCTTTGAGTCAGTTGCCTCTGAGATCTAACAATTCACTCCAGAAGATTAGAAACAACCAGTAAGGATTTGTTGAAATTAAAGAAAAGTCAGAGACATTATCCCATACAGTCTGCAGCTAACAATATGTGAGAAGATTTTATTTTTTTTCTTTTTCCACTCTTCTTTTCCAGAAAAAGGAAAGGTATGATATATTGGTCCCATCTGGTAGGCAATCTCACACTCAGCTACTCCTTCACTCCCCCTCCTCAGTAGGACAGGGGAAGATAAGAAAAAAAAGGAATGAGAAACATTCTGGATTAGTATGGAGTCAGGAAGATCACTTACTAATTATCATTGTCAGCAAAACAGACTTTATTTGAGATGAATAAATTTGTCAATGAAAATAAATATGGAATTAATTATTTGCATATTGGAAGGAAAAGGACCAAACATTTACATACTTAGAGAAAACATCTCTCTTCCCCTTTTTTCCACACTTAGCTTCACTCCAAATTTCTGTTTCCTCCTTATTATTGCTATAGATTACACTCATTCCCTACAGTGAGGAAATGCACCATGCAAGGCTGAAGGAGTGTGTGTATGTATGTGAGAGTTACGGTCAATACATAGCGGTTTCTTCTGGCCACTCCTTACTTTTCATTTTCTCTGCTTCTGTTAGGTTCTTTCTACTACTGCAGCAGAAAAAAGTACCTGAGTTTGGATTCAGTTAGCTTGACTTATTCAATTTTTTTTTTTTTTTTAAAGCGAATATATCTTACAGTATATGAATGCTTAGAATTCCAGCCTGGTACTTCTGCGATAAAAATCAACAGGATGTGGCTCATATAGGAACCAGCTATTTTTAGTAAGATTCCTGAAGTGGGATATAATTTTAAGTCTTCTCTGCATTTTTATTTCTGAAGCTGCTTGCCAGGCTTGAATGATACATGATTAATAATTGAGCACATCATATTTATACATTCCTTTACAATAGATGCATGAGAAGAAACCAGAAAATTAAGGGGGTAGGAGAGGAAAAGGCAAAAATTTGTTTCTATGGTAGATCCTGCCAGAAAGACATGAGGCAGTAGTGATCATAAATTTTATGCCAATCTACATGTGTTTAACTTTTATGTATTACTTCTACAGTCCTTCATTTTCATTCATGTCCCATTCACTCTTGCTCAAATGATCAGTAGAAAGATTGTTGTAACTGCATTAGGATTAAGGCTAGACTCTCCCAAAATGCACAATGTTTAATGGTGATAGAAATCAGTTTAAAAATTAATACAAGGCAGGTTTCTCCTAAATAAGATTCCATGTAGTCAGCAGAATGACCCAATATCTTAGGCTAAGTTGATACTTTTTCTTGGCATGTGACAATTATCTGCCTGTACCTCCAACCAGAGTAAAATAATATTGTCAATCAACGTCATTACAAAATCTTATTAATTTTAAAATAAGAGTGTCAGCTACTCTACCTTGTAGAGGTAGGACTAATGCTCTACTTGTGATACATTGACATAACTACCATATCTACCTCTCTTCCCACTAAGAATTGCTGGCAGTAAGCTGATCATGAACCACTAGTGTCTTCCTTTTGAAGATTAAAAACTCTACAGAGGAGGATATGGAAAAGTGTATTGTTTTCACAGTTCTACTCAAAAGGAAGTACAGTGTACAAAAATTGAAAATTTAAAACAGGACTTCACTGGTAATTTAAAAGGCATAGTACAGCATTACAGTCTTAGTAATTACCATGGTCCTTCCTCTGTTCCCAGTCAGAAAAATTTCTGAAATCTCTGCACTGTCCATTTTTGCAGAATGTAATGAGGTCCACCTTATTCAATATCTAGTGTTCAGTGGTAGCCATATCTATATGCTTCACAGAAATAAGCAGAACTATTCTCCTGGAATAATTTGTACATGGAATTATATGTCTGAGGGTAATTTCATTCCTCACCAGCAGTAGGTGTTTGCTATATTTAGTTTTTAAATGTGAAGATTTATATACACAGAGTCATAAAATAATTTAGTTTGGAAAGGATCTGTAAGACCATTGAGTCCAACCATTAACCTAACAAGTCAAATCTCCTTCTAAATAATATCCTTAAAAGATAAATCTAAATGTCTTTTAAATACCTCTAGGGATGGTGACCCAACCACTTCTCTGTTCAGACTGTTCCAGTGTTTGACAACCCTTTTGGTGAGATAATTTTTCCTAATATCCAAACTAAACCTCCTCCAGCACAAATTGTGGTAATTTCCTCGTATCTTGTTGCTTGTTGCTTAGTAGAAGAGACCGGCCACTCCTTTACTGCAGCCTCCTTTCAGGATCTTGTAGAGAGCAATCAGGTCCTTCCTAAGCCTCCTTTTCTCCAGGCTAAACAATCCCCACTTCTTCAGCTGCTCCTCATCAGACTTGTGCTGTAGACCCTACACCAGCTTCATTGCACTTCCCTGGACATGTTCCAGCGCCTCAGTGTCTTTTTTGTCATGAGGGGCCCAAAACTAAATAGAGAGATTTGAGGTGCAGCTTCACCAGTGCCAAGTACAGGGGGATGAATTGTTCTCAGTCATGCTTGCTACACAACCACAAGAACCTTTTATAAAACTCTTCTACTAGATCTGTAGGTTTTATTATTATCTGAAGTGTTCAGTTTCACTTAGAATTTTACTATTTGTCTTTAGTACTCATGTAGTTAGTTCTTGGGATACAGTTATTTCGGCCATCGCAACTTCATTTTGAGTGAGCTCTTTATCTCATTGCCACATTCTGGTATCAGTGTTGTCAGGAATAATGAGCTTAAACCTGCAGGTAGTTTTCTTCAGCAGCATACAACACAAACATATGCCATGTCATTTTATTACTTTCAGAGTTTATTACATAGCTTGTTTCATATATGTCATAATATATTTTCTGCTTTTTGCCCATTAACCACTACAATGGTGTTTTCATTGATTCTGACACATTGAGCACATTCATCTTTCTCTGGAAGATCTACAGTTAGTACAGAAACAAATTATTCCAATGTTAGCATTTGTCAGCATTTGTTTGCTGATTCATTAGTAGATCTTGTGTCACCTTCCTGAATGATGTTCTTTTGAAATCCCCCCCTGACAGCTATGATTGTTTTAAAACATTTCTGCCACTCCACTTGCTTGTTACCATTTTATAGCTGGGCGGTCAGAGCCTTCAAAGATGACCTGGTGGAACAGATTGTACAAATGTTTCTCATCCACTTCAGCATGGTTGTACAACTTTATATCTTAAACTGTTGAAACATTATGTGGACTACAATAGAGCTAGCAACAAGAAAATAAAATGTTTTAGAATTTTGCAGCAGGAATTTTGCAAGTAGAGCCTCCTTTTCTTTGACATATGTAAGGGCAAATCTTTCTGAATAATGTCTCAAATATTATTTTTATATAGAAATTCATCTTACAGTATGTAAGATGGCTTACATCTTACAGTATGCATTATGTCTTTTTTTTCTAATAAAAATCTGATTGTATTTGTCTGGTGAATGTACTTGAAGGCCCACATACTTCTATACAACTGCCCCGTTTTTTTTTTCCGTGTTACATATTTCCAAAACCTATCAAAAGCCTAGTCTGATGAAAAAAAAATGAGGCTAATACGAAAAAAAAAATCACTGTATACATATTTCCAGAACAGAATTGACATTATTGCTGACAACTACTGATCAGAAAGAAAAAGTGTGAAGAAAACACAGGTCTTCCATCTGCTTCATCCATCTGCTGAGAAAAGGAACTGTGTTACCATTAGCAGGTCTGTCTCTACAATTCTGTGTGTTATATGTACATTTTCATGACAAATGCCTTAAACATCTATAGTGTTTACCTCTATAGATAACTGTACTAAATAGCATTTAATTTTGCAAACAGCTCTAAGTTAGCTATTTTTTGAAATAAAATGCATAATAGAGCATAATTTCCAGATTTGTCCTAAAATTTCCTGACCAAAAAACAGCTATTCTTGAAAGTGTCTAATAAAAGAGTTTAGTTTACTATTAGATATACTTGAGAAATCACATTTAATATTTTTTGACTGAGGATTTTGGCACAATGTGTCATTTGGCTACTTTCTATTTGCCTATATTTATTTCAATATTGACATATTTTTCAAAATTGAAAGAAATAAAGTTGGGATGTAAACTTCACATCAAATAGTATTCTCCAAGTCCATCTATGGAGGTTATTGTTGAGGAGCTCAGTTTTGTTGGACTTCTACATTACAAATGTCAATCACAAACAGAGAGTAAAGGAGACTCCTGAGGAATTCTGTTCAATATTCATTATTTTTCAATATTCTATACTTTATTTGTCCTATGGGTTGGGAACTTTAAAAAGGAAACAGAATTTTTAGTTACACAAATTCTGCCGAAAGGTGGGAGTAGCCTGTATCTAGCAGCTCCAGGCATTAAGATTTCTAGAATCCACACAAGGCCAGGTATTCTGCCCTTGTGCCAAGTGCTCATGTGTAAACTCAGTAGGTCCTGTGGTTTACACAAGAATGACAGCAGCATTGCATTCATTATTTCTGCTGCTGCACGGGCATCTTAAGTTCTTTCAAAATTTACTTCCTTGCTAAGTCTAGGAATTATACTAGAAAGGCTCAAGTTCAGGTCATTATCACCAGAATCACTCCAAGAGTTTTCCTCCGGTCACCTCCTTTCCTCAGCATCTCTATTCCTGATTAGAAAGAACTCCAGATGAGAAGAGGTTTTGTTTGTGATTTTTGGTGGGTTTTTGTTTGTTTGTTTTTGTTGTTGTTGTTGTTTTTTCCATTAATGCAAGTAGTTCTGACACACAAACAGCTTTAGAAAATGACAGGGAGACTTTTAAAGCCTGTTCTGTTATCTTGAATGCTGGTAACTATTTAGAAATAAAACTCCAACAAATTATGTACAATGATAATTAATTATACAAACATTGCCTTACTTTTTAAAATAAAGTTAACTAAATGACACAAAAAGATATTTCTGTTAAAAATAGCAAAAAAAAAAAAAAAGATGTAAGTATATAAAATTATTATTCTGTAACATACATTCATCTTCTGAGTGCCCTCATGATTAATAGTCATACATAGGACAGAGATGGTGAGACAGCTGAGTCTTTTTAGGATTGTCATTGTGCAGTTGAAAGAGGTGGACAAATACTTTCCCTGTTCAAAGACCTAATTTCAAGACCTTCTTTCATATTTGTGGGGAGAGTAATAATTTTGGAAGAAAAAACTTTGCATTTTGCTAAAGAAATTGCATTCAATTTCATTGTTTTTCACCTTATTGCAAAGTTGAACTACCACTGTTATTTTTTATAGCAGTGATTTGTTCTGTTAGATCTGGTGAAGGTTCTTTGTTGACTGTTGTAGGTAAACAGAAAGAATCATACCTCTGCTTTCTCTCTTACACAGCATTTCAATTAGTAGGTGGAACAACTAGGAACCACTTTCCTTTGTCTTTTTTTCAGTGCTTTTCCTTTGTCTTTTTTTCAGTGCTTAGCCCCACTGAGCTGATTAAATATACGGACAAAGCATATCTTGTGCCTGAATCACCAAATAAAAAGACATTAAGGTGGTTTTGTAAACATGCTGACATTTATTTTTAATAAAGTATGGATTACTTCTTTTCTATTATGATGAAAAAACATTTTTAAAATCTGAACCAGTGTGGGTTAATATGCAGAAACTAAAGTGCATTGTAGATGATCAGAAAAATTAGAATATTTCTTTTCAAAGTATGGTTGTCAGTAATTTAAAGGGTCTTTTAAATCATTTTGTATTGAAGACAATCAGCAGCAAGGAACATAATCTTCTATCAGAAGTAACAAAAGAAATTATCTCCTTTCTTCCCAATTTTATGTACAAGAATAATATATATAATATATATATTTTCTTAAAAATCTAAACCCCATATATTTTTAAAGGTTATAGCTATACAAGTCATTTTAATAAGGAATTCGTTTCTTCAAAGATTTGAATGAAATGGTTTATTTTAAGCAGCTAGTTGTCAAATGCAATCTTCTCTCTTGTTTTTCAAGTTCATGGAATATAAAAACAAGAAAGGAATTAATAGTCTATTATGTATGTTTTGGCTTCCTTATGAGCTGTCACTCAATAAATAGTTTCATATACATATAAGACCTCTTTCTGTGCTGTAATATCAATGTAAAGGAGCATTTCAATAATTGAAAAATTCCTTTGCTCCCATCTGAAGGTCATCTCTATTATCAGCATGATAGAGTTGGGAATTATATATATTTATATCTATATATACCTATCTCTCTTGCTTTCTCTCTCTATATATATACGTATTAATATATCTCAAGGTATTTTGAGGTAAACAGTGAGAGCTTAAAATATTGTTAAATTAAAAAACCTTTTCCCCCCTAGATTTCTCATAACAAAGGCATCATTATTTTGTCCTGTCACCTTGTAATGAGTAATAAGATATATAGCATTGTTTTAGAAGTTGATTGAAATGTTGGCAAAAAAAGAATAACACAAAAAGGAGAATTTAAATAATTAATTGCAATTAAACTTGACTCTCAAGAAAGCACACATTTGTTTCTTTGCAAGTATCTTCACCAATTGATTTTAATTCATTGTTACGACAAATTTAACTTTCTTCTTACATTTCTTTGGATGAATAACAGTAGAAAAACTATGTAAAATCTTTTAGCTATGTCAATGTATGTGCAAACTTTATGACTGTGAAATGAAACAAATCAGTATTTAGGAAGCTCAGAACAAAAGACTGAAGGCATTTATAGTGAGTTGCATTAATCAATTTACTGTGTGCTAAGCATTGTTTATCTGAGCTAATCATGGAAGATTAACCTTTAAAAATTTATATTACAAAATATGATGATCCCAATCTTGGTTCCTAATGCTTTTAGCTCTAAAAACCACGTTTGACATTTACCAATAGTAATGTCATGGAAAAATGTTCCCATACTCTGCAAATGACAAAGGTTTGTATTTTTTTTAATTTAAGTTTTATTTTAAGAAAGGAATTTAAGATTGTCAGCAGTGCCAGTTTTGTTTTTTTTGGGGGGAGGGGCATTTTGTTGTTTTCTTTAATAATTACTTAAATGATTACTTCAATTATGATATCACTTAGGATCTTTAGAGGTTAAGATCATTAGAAATTAAAGATAATTAGAAATTAAGTGTTTAACACTGAAAAATATCAGGCAAGCATTCAGATTTTTTGCACTGGTCACGGTTTCCTCACTTTATTTGAATGAAGCAAAAGTACTTTATAGAATGAATGTGAAAAAAAACTGGTTTTAGGTTATATTCCGGTCTTGAATCACAGTAGCACTGAATTAGATGAAAAAGTATGAACTTCCAGAGTCCTGTAATTTTTGCTATGGTGTCTCATGTTTATACCTACTTCTGACCTGTGCCTTCAGGGAGTGCTCTAAGGTAAGTATTCAATATTGAGACTGAAAAAGAAGTAAAAAGTAAACAATTATTTCTGATACATTCAGTGCTTACCATTCAAATTTTCTAGTACTTTTCTTAATAGACTTTTAAAGTCTACCAAATACAATTAAGAAAGAGACGTTCAAACATGTTATGGAGCAACTTCTATGAACAAGGTTCCAGACCTTAAAGGAATATTTCATAACCATTGAAAAGGAGAACTTTTGAGACAGGCTCTGTTGCAGTACTAAGCCCTGGTAGCAGTACCAAACTGCCATGGATCTTTTCTCCATGTAGTACAAAGGCTGTCATTGATGCCTCATGGGGCTGGAACACATTTCTTTTAGCCTGATGAGACATCAGATCTCAAACTGTGGGAGTGTAGATAGCATATATATGGAAATACAAATGTGTTTCATACTTACCCATGTCTATTCTTCTATGAAAAACAAAACCTGCTAGAAAGACCTGAAGAAAGTAACCATACGTAATGAGGCTTTCGGGACACAAATTGAGAAGCGTAAGTCATGTAAAAGACCACCTCAAAAATGGACTAATTTTGTAAAAGGGATAAGGATATTGAATTGAGAGATGCTACAATGCTAGATGCAAATTGCCCTTCTAGATACCCTACTCAAGAGGGAGCTTTTCAAGATTTAATTAAGCCACTTTTTAAAAATGTATTTGTGTTGAATACAAACTAGAATTGCACCTGGCAGAAAATAGTAGTATTTTCATTCCTATGCCAAATATCGTTCATAACAGAATTCTTAGAAACAAGGGTGTCTACTGCACCTTAACTTCCATTTTGAGAAATTCTACGAGCTCCAGGCAGATTCTCAGTTTGGAGAATAGCTGTTAAGACATAGTTTAAAAATTAGAAATGTAATACCTGCTCCAGTTGCTGCTGCATCCACACAGATTGGCAGAAACTAAAGCTGTGCTCTAGATCTGCAACCAGAAGGGCTGGATCAGACTCATCTGAAGAATTTGGATGTGTTGTTTTGAGAGGGGAAGGAGGACAATTTCTGTGTCCTCTTAGTATCTCATGGGAAATTTAAAGGCTTTTCAAAAGTTCTACAGATTTCTTTTGTCCTTTTTTTTTTTTTTTTTTTTTGCTGACACAGTTGTACAGTAGCAGATCACAGCATGGGAATGTCTTCTGGCTTGCATCACACTAACCAAGTGGTCTAGAATTCTGCTTTTAATTTCAGCTCGTTCTTTAATCTGAATTCCTAGTACATGGTGATTTATATCCAAGCAGCTAAAAGCAAAACACAGCATCAGTTTAACACAGTAACAACTTAAGCAATGTGAGGCTAGACTGTGCTGTCAAATGCCCTATGTCATGATGGACAGCCTCTATGTGCATACATGGAATATTCATACAAGATATATGGATACAGTAAACAAATGAAACATGTGACATTAAGCATTTGGTTCCAGTTAAGACCAATGGAAACTGAAGTTTTCAAGCTTCAAGCAGGATATTCTCACATCGTCCAGTCATAGATATCTCTTTCTGGAAGAAAATGGAGATTTTTCTCCAGAACTCTCAAAGTTTGGTTCCACAGGTGTGTTCAGAAAGCGAGACCTCAAAAAAACTCTGACCCTTGACTTTTTCTTTCCTCTTTCTGTCCTCTCTAATCCACAATATTGGCTTTGACCCAGAACATTTTAATGGGGAGTTTTTAATTTCTTTGTCAGTAGCCTGATAAACTGTTATAACTATGGAGAAAAACTTTCTCAATATACAACATTCTAAGTGGGTCATAAATTTTATGTTGAAATAAAAGAAATCTTATTTCTCCTGATGGTTACACCTGATTTGTTTGTATTATGCTGAACTTCTGCTCTCTTTACAACTGCCAAGACTTGTCTAAAACCGAAGAAAGATTGACTATTCCCAGTCAAGCATATACAACAGAATTTATAGGAAATGAGATCTGCACAAATATATTCGCCTGTTTCAAAGCATTAGGTTAACAAAATGTTGATTCCATGCTTTTATTTGTTCTTTACCCTTTGGAAGTAATGGGGGAAGACATCAGACATATGTGCATTTTCAAATAAAATGTTAGGCCTGTAGGCCACAGACTGGTGAGATAATAAGCATACTTTTAAAATTTCTTCTGCAGTACTTACAAAGTGAGGAGAAATCACACAGCTGACCACACTGCAGCTACTTAATGCTGCTATAAATAGATCATAATAAGCATGTGGTGTATGTGATTGTCTGTGCTGATAAATGAAAGGGTGTGAATTTTTCAGCATCAGTGGAAAGATGGGAAAAAGAAAAAAACCTTCCTGATTGCAGCTGCAAATGGTAGCAATTTTTGCTTCCTGCATTAATGAATGTAATTCATGTAACACATATTACATCATTCAACAGCCAAATTCTCACATTCAGTTCACAGACAAAAAGTATTTTAATTAAGAATATCAATGAGTAATGACAATCCACTTTCAGAAAAAGCAAAGAAAGACACTTCTTTGGCCATGTAGGAGGAGCTGTGATGCAAATATATTTTATCAGTGTAATAAATTCACTTTCCTAAAATTCTTTACCAAAAGAACATCCTTAAAGACACATTCTGGTTTATTTGTCTGTTTTCTGTTTCTAAGCTTCCTTTATGTGCAGTATTTGACTGCAAACCTGCATTTTCATTTTGCAGTCTTTAGTGATTGAATCACTTCATCTTCTATAAACATCACAAATTCAAAGAGCTTTCAGCATCTGAACTCCAACACAACATACAAACTAAAATAATTCATTTTCTAGAGACCATAACAAATTTTAATGTGCATTTACAGAGTAAACAGAGGACTGAAAGGGGCCAAACCAGACAAAGTGAAGATATGCATTACAAAATCCACACATTACTGAATTAAAAACCAAAAAGTGGTGTTTTGTCAAAAAAGGAAATAAAGATGTTTCTTGGTGGCACGACATACAGATAATATTAAAAACTGGCTTGCATGAGGACCAAAGTATGTCTACTCTGAAGTTATATCACACAGACTGTAAGCAATTTACAGAATTTAAGTTAGTTTTGCATATACAGGAGTTGCAAAATTAGAGAAAACACATTGAAATATAGAACGCACACACACAAAAAAAAGGATGTATATATATATAAACCTCCACATAGTCATCAGGGGTTGGCCTAAGTCGGTACTTGCCATCATTGAACAAGAAACAAACAGAAAGACAGGAAAAAAAAACCTCAGAGGGGGAAAAAATAATATATTGGAAAGCAAAAAGAAAAAAAATCTCAAAAGAAAAATATCCTCATATGTTTTTCAGAAACAACATCCCATAGTCTGCTGAGCTGCTTAGTAGAATATTCCTATTCCTCATACAAAAAAAAAAAAAAAGAAGAAGAAGATAAGGAAAAGACTTTTTGATAAAGCTTTTATGTATTCTATTTATGTTAAATCACTATAGTTTGTTTCATTATTTGGCCTCTTTTTGCTTCCAGGCCGGAACGGTTCTTTCAGCGTAGGAAACCAAATGTCATCCATGATTAATTCTGTAATACTGAGGACTCACAGGCCAACCCCTGAGAAGTCAAGGATGAGGCTTCTCCGAAAGAAACGGAAACTAGGTCTTGCTGTTACAAAACTTTTGATTACATCACACCAGTTCTCTTCAAATAAAATATCAGTGATACGCCGAAGAAAATAAGATATATCAAGAAAACGTGGTATCCTCTTCTTTTTTTATAATATTTTATTTTATTTTATTTTATTTATTTAGTAATTTTGTTTGTACTTCCTGAAGAAGGTGCTCCTTGTGTAGAGATTTAGAGTACATTGGGTGCAGAGTGATGGTTGGAGGTTAGGGTCAACTTTGCTGTCCGCTCCGTGGATTTTACAGGCGATTTGCTCTTTGCTTTAAGAAGAGAAAGTGATATTGGAAAAAGTCAGCACTTTTAGATTAAAGCAAAGCACCCTTCACAAAGCCACAAACAAGAAGCAGGACAGAAAGTCCATGGCTTGTAGCTATCCTCGCACCTGCGGAAGAAGTTATAAGATATTCGCTCATCTTGCAGATTTCCAATGCTCCTTATAAGGCTGTTTTAAACATATACATTTATTTATTTAATTAGCTCGCCAGGTTGGCTCTGGTGCCCATGAATGTCTTGGCATGCACTGCAAACAACAACACATACAAAGTATTTCAGTCCCAGGGAGGTTTTTTGTTTGTTTGTTTGTTTTGATTTGCTTTTTTTTTTTCTTGTCTGTCTTTTTAAACAATATTACCCAATGAAACCATAAACCAAGAGGAACAAAACCAAATACCTTCCACCTCAGAGTGTTCTTTACAAAATCATTTCCAGCATCACATCACTGACTGCTAACAAAAAAGTAATCTAGTGGCTAAAGAGTGTTTTCTTGTAGACCGGAGGAGATGCAGGCAAATGATTGTGCTATTGACAAGGGGGAAACAGACTGCCAAAAGGTTTGGATTATTTATTTTTGAGAAATTATATTATCCCAGACTTTGTTTTCTTTTAAAAACTTATGAAAACAATGGTAATATAATTATTTCTAAACCCACAATGCTATATTTAGTATGCTAGCAGAATAAAAACATTTTGAGCTAGACTGATTAGACTGAAGTGTTCACACATCAAGGGCATGAGTTGTCTTACATTCCAAGTCTTAGTACTTGATAACTCCCCATATCATCTGGAATTACATTCATATTTTGAAACTAATTACTTGAGGTTAAAACTGTAAATCTAATTTTGTAGCACTGTAAGTAGAAGTTCAGATTAGAACAGACTGATGCATGATTAATAGATTTTATATCTGTGTTGTATATTTGAAAAGGATAAATATTATTGATGGTTAGAGGCATCAGTCCTATAACAGGGTAACAATGGTGTTATAAGTAATCCATGAGAATGATGGACTTGTAATAAAGTGTTGTTTTGCTTTTTTTCAATCTATTAATCATGTATAAGGTATTTTTGTAAAGTACTTAATATTAAAATAAATTATGGATTTCATTGAAACCCCCAAAAGCACATTTATCTTATCATAAGGAATATACACAATGAAAGCAAAAAGAAATACAGGCAAGCACTTGTTTTTTTTAAGTTTTCAGATGTAACACTGTTCTATATGTCTGCTAACTATAAGTGAAGCTAGAAGTATTTTTGTTCCTGTCTTTAGTAACTTTTTCATTCTTGAAATGGGGATTAAACTAAATCACATATTTTAGATAAACACTCCTTGCTTGGGTAAATATATATGTGTAAGATGTTACATATATAGCAGCTTCCATAAAAGATCCCTAGTCCTCTGTCACATACAGAAAAACTTCTAAGCAACAGTAATTACTATTTCAATTATACATATGTGAACTGAATTGTTAAATAAATATTAACTTTTAAATGAAAACTTGTCTCAAAGACATTAATAACATTTTTCCAAGATAAGTCCAAAGGAACTTTGAGCTTAATTTGTACTGAAAGAAGATGTGAGTGGGAAGCCCTACCATTTTCTTGCCTGTCTGATGTTCCTTGCAGTACTCTGCTGTGGTTTGCTGTGCTTCTCAGGACACTTGTTCTGTATTACAAACAAGCAAATGCACAAGCAAATTTGCTGCAACTTTTTCCAATGTGTTGTTCTACACAGATAGTATTTATGATCATGAATCCAAGAGTTCGATTTATGGTTTTGGTTTTACTGCAGCATGTCTTTGTTCTCTCTCTCTGCAAAAACTGTAAGTTGACAGATTTTTGCATGAAGGCTTTTCTTTCCCTAACAAGGTTAGCAAAACTGAGTTAGAATCTTTGTGAGTTAGATAATTTTCTGATGTATTGAATTATTTGTACTTGTTTTATTCCATTTAATATTGTTTCTTTTTGACTGAACTAAGGATATATATTTCAATACAACTCTAAAGAGGTCCTTAGACATATATTTTGTCTGCAAAATACATATAATGGAACTTTGATGAATTTCATGAATGTATTTTAAGAGTTTTTATAACAATTAATTATGTTACAATTTGAGAATTTTAAAGCTGTGCAGAAGAGAAAAAGTATGATATATAAGTTTAACTCAAGATATGTGACAGTGGGAAAAACAGTGCCATATTTGCAGACAACATAGTCTCTGATTTTTTTTATCATTTTGCTTTTTTCAATAAGACAATGTGTAGATCCCCAAATTAGAGGGTAATTTATAATGCCTGCACATAAACTTTTTATTTATAATGTTCAGTTTCTGCATAAATCATTTCACATGTTCTACATCCATGCTCTTCTTTAAACAGCAAGTTTGTTTATTTTTCAGGGGATTTAGGCTAGAGTGCATGCACTAAGTGCAAGCTAAAGCAATTTTAAACATATTGGAAAAAATTAAGGCAATTAACAACGAAAGCAATTTCAGTTTATATGTGGAAAAAGGGGCTATTAGGATTATTGGGGAAAAAAACGGTAATAGACAGCATCCTCTGCAAGGTCTTGGGAACTGATTATTAGATCTTAATCTGATTTGTTTCCAAAATACTGTTTAATCCAAAGAGAGAAATTTTCAGTCCTATATCAGCCCACACAACTTGACTTGAAATATACAGTGACATATATGGCTATTAGGTGTGCTCTCACCTTTCCAGTGATGTTTTATGAAATAAAATTGAAGTTTAAGTGTACTCAATTTTTTTTTTCCAGAGAAGAATTGTATTTTTTCCTTCATGAACCTAAGTATTTGTTTCAATTTTACAAGAGTCAAAGCTGCAAAAGTAGAAAAAGAACATAGCAAAACTGAAAGCACCTTTTTAATATTTTTTTCTTTCTTTTGCTCTGTCATTTTTGATCATATTTTATTATTTTGTTTTTCATCTTAAAAAAAAAGTGACAAAAAGTATTCACAAATTTTCATTTTGTCTTGGCATCTGGAAGTCATAGGGTGCTTAAATCAGAGGATCAATTCCACTGTATCCAAATTCAGACTTCCATGCAGGTGTGTTTTCAGTCTACCATTCTGACTAGGACTTGAATAGTATCACCTGAACAGACAGCATGTTAATGTAAGTAAAAAGCTGTCTATATGGCTGTGGATTTGATAAACTGATTATTCATTATCCCATCATTTCCAGCATTATTTTATAATTAACATAATAAGAGCTAAATGAAATTTTATTGCAGGTCAACAGCACTGGGTAAAGCTGGACTGTAATTATACAATCGTCAAAGACAGTCACTCAGAAGAAGAACTGTCATGTAATGTATGTGTGTATTATTTCTACATTATTAGTTAAACTCCGCTTGATGTGTAGGTCAGACATTCTCACTACTCTCACTATTTCACCTGTCAGCCATGGGGCTCCAGTTAAATTCCTCTTGTGATATGTAAATTCCCATAAGTTGTCTTTTATTTCCTGCTCCTAACAGATATCCAAAAGGGCAAATGTCCCTGAAATACTTAGCTTTCTCCTGTAAACAAATGCTATATTGCCAAAGGCATGTGATTATGAGTTTTTGTGCAATAACATGAAAGATTAGTTCATGACATTAAAGTGTTTGAAACCATGTTTTATTTGAATTTATGATTTGTTTAAATGTTAGGAACACAAAGGAAAAAAAATAGTGAAAAATAATTGTGACCTTAATCTTTAAAATAAAAAAAAAGTCTCTGTCACAAATGCTTGTATTTTAAGGCTCATGGTGTATAAACCCCACTAAACATCAACACAGCTTAACATCAATTTTGCTGTGTTAATAAAATTAATTTTAGAGCATGTAATTATAAAATAAAGCCACTAGAAGATATAAATTCTTGGTAAAATGCAACTGTTACTCATCCCATGCCTGAATGCAAAGAGGCATGATGTCTTGCCTTTACTAAGATACTGATCAGTCAAAATTTGTGTATGATACATGGGATTTGCAAGCAGGGGTGGTTGAATAATTCTGCCCATTCATTTTCACAACTGGATAAGACACTGAATTGTGAACAAAGCAGCTGCCTCAGGAACTAAAATTTTAGCATCTTCTATTTGTAAAAGTACTCTACATGGTAAACCACCCTGGGCCAAAAACAGTTTGCATCTGCCAGAATTGAAGTTTAGCAAGTTTGGCATTCCTTGTGCTTTTAAGGTTTAGGATTTCTCTGGAATGTAATAGCATCCAGCACTCTGAGCCTCAATAACTGTCAGAGCCTCTTAAAATTGTCTCCTTACAGTTGTGTGTACGATGTAGAGTATTCTCACACAAATAACAGAAGGAATCGGAAAATTCAACAGCATTTCTTTAGTACTTTACTAAACATATACGTTTAAGTTTCCTTTAAGTAGTAACCCACTGGTCACAGGAACGAGTAATGCCTTAGTAGAGACCTTGCTCTGTGCTGACCACTACAGGAGAAATACAACCAGTCACATAAAAATTCATCCCAGATTCTCTGTACAGATTACATTAGGCCAAAATATTAACACATGCATTTCAGAGACATATATTTGGGCTGTGCTGGGTATGAGTTAATTTTGTTGTTCTACTGATTTCTGAAATGACAGAGCTCTTGAAACCTTGGAAGTTTCGTTTTTAAGGAATTTGTGCTGAGGTTTTCCATCTTTAAATGCCTGGTTTTGCAACATTTAGTTTTGCTTTATATTGCTAGATTTGAAATACTCTTCTTGTCAGCCCCAACTGAACCCAGACAAAGTCATAATTTTGCATTATTTCCAGGAAAAGTAAGTAAAAGTTCATGTGATATCTGTCTTAATTTTACTGGGGACATAAATGAACCATAAGATTACTTGGAGAATATTTGCAGTTTTATTTCCATAAAGACAGGTAAAACCAAGTAGGACTGATATGATGAAGCTTTATTTGAAAATGTCTCACACGGGTTTTCAATAAATAGATTCTTTCCCTCTGGCCTGCCAATTGCTATCATTCTTATTCCTCTGAATTGCATAAATCCCTATTGTGTATATCTCTTCCGTAGTGATGGGATAAATATACCCAAACTCAGGAAGAATTTTTCTTATCCACAAATGTAAAATTCCCCTTTCCCTCTTTGGGGGAATGACTTCTTCACTGTGTTTTAGGGCTCAGTTGTCTGTGTTTAATTTTGGGGAACTGAATGACTGAATTAAGTTGAGCAGTAAGTATTCATATTCAATGGAGATCCCT